GTGCTTAACTTTTTTCTTTGTGTATATATACTTGTTCCATACAGGGTGAATGTTTCTGAAATACTGTTGGATGACATCGAGGGTCAATGTCCCGCATGATGTGGGAGATCCAATAATATGGAGTGTCTATGACTAAATGAATATAGTTTTAGGGCACAGTCAGCAATATTCCAGCTACATCCCGGACCCACTGACCCTACATCACACGCAGGCACGTTTGGACTGAGCTGATGAACGGGACAGTTGAACAGATGTGTCGTGATACAGTCTGGACTTCACAGATTGATGTGCCCGAGAGCGGCTTAGAACATTTCAGGATTCCAACGTAGCTAAACATAACCGCTGTGGATGGGGTTCAGTTAATGAGTGAGTGAGTGAGTTGGGTTTAACGCTGCTTTTAACAGTATTCCAGTTATATCGCGGCGTGTCAGCTTAAGGTGGGAGGAAAGCCCGAAGTGATGCAGGTCTCAGACGTTTACCACTTCGGTGAAACCCACGAGCACGGGTATGGTGCTGACAAACCTAGAAACATAATCGGGGCGAACCAGGATTTGAACTCACAATCATAGTTTTCTGGCGTGCCCAAGGGACGCAACTCTGCACAGCGAATCGCGGCGCCTTAGACGACTGGGCCACCCGTGCCCCCGGTTAAGTCATGATTTGGGGTGTGATCAGGACAGCTGTAAGAACCGATCTCTATGTCATATACTGGGCACATTGTGCGCTACGGGGATGACATTCTAGATGTGTACGTGAGAACGTACTGATGAAATCGGACTAGACTTCATCCTCATAAACGATAACGCACGACCTCATCGTGCCAGGGTCGTAGAGCAGGAGATCATTGTCCGCATGGAGTGGCCAACCCCGTCACCAGACCTCAGCCCTATCCAACACATATGGAACAAGCTGCAGATAGCCCGCTTACGATCGCAACTCAAAAGGACCTGGGGAATGCTTTTACTGGAGAGTGGAACAATCTTCCCTTGGCAACCATCCAGGCACTTATTGGGAGCATGAAACGACTGTGTTCTGTACATTTCAGATTTGGTCAGATACTATCATTTTGAGGTGATGTGACTAATTCAAGGTCACAAGTTGTTTGTTGGCATTGTGTGGAACATGTTAACAGACTTTTGTTCATGAAACATGTCTTCGCGCAATATTGTCTTTGGCTATTTCAACAGACACACACAATTTGACTTATTACCTTTCAAAGTGGTGATCCTCAGCAAACTTTGAGTAGTATATATACATTCACCCTTGAATCCATCTGAACTAGGGCTCTTTTCATTCTAAAAGCTTCTAATATACTATTTTCGTAATCATCCTACATAATCCTTCTGGTGTAATATCTATCCTTGTGCCATTAAACTTGCCTAATGTCTCATTGAACCGACATATCATGAATTCTCTTGTTTTGTAAATAACTTTTTAAATGAATTCTTATCTTCACCTAAATTTCTTCTGACAATATGTTGCCAACTGAGGTTTCCATATGCAGAATTCTTTATAACTAAATTATTCTTGTGGGGATTTGGGGTAAGAATATAGGCCCACAGCAACCTATGCTTGTGGTAAGAGACGATTGGTGCTGGTGGTCTCCAATTGGATGAAACTAAAGTGAGGCTCTCAGGGGTTTACCAACAGGATGCAACTCAAGTGAGGCGCCTCCAAGAGATTTGCGAATAGGATGTAACTCAAGTGAGCACATACGGTGTCAACCACTGGATTACCTGGCCGTGATTACTTATGGCTGTCTCAATACAGCTAGAATATGGATTACTGACTTTTCTCTGAAGATGCAGATATTGGGGACATTGAAAATAATGACAATAACTAGTTCTCTGTCAAACATTTTATTCATGACTTGTAGGAAATCACAACAATCAATGGTTAACAATACATTTTCATTTGGTGAAAAAAAACAATGACACTAAAATTTCAACTTTCTCCCAAAGAACTTTCTAATTTGAAATGCCAAATAGAAAACCATTTAATGAAATCATGACTTTTTTGGTACTACACTACAACACACACACACTACCCCTCAACCTCCTCCAAGTACTGTTGAAACTAAACTTCAGACATTGACATGACAAGTACATCAGGCATCTTAATTGCTTGGTTTGTGAGCCTTTAACCGAACATTTAACAAATCAGACCAAAACATATTTTATGAATCAATTTGTCTCCTTGTACAAGTGTGATGACTAAATTCAGAAAAGGAAACAGGTAGGTAACTCTTTGCCTTTTCAATCACAAAAACATTTTGTTTATTCACCCAAAAATTATTTTCATTCACCCAATAGACAGAATTGTTAAGAGAGCAAAATCTGCAACTTTAATAAAGTTAAGAGAGCAACAATCTCATTAAAATCAGGTTTAAGTTCTCGCTGCCGCAAAACAAAGATCTGAGGACATCCCATTACGGGTCACGTCAGAACGACCTTTCATCCAACCAATCAGAGCGTCGCTTACCAGATCATGAAAGTGAGTCGGAATGTGTTCTAATCATGCAACCACGAAATATTTAACACGGGGTATTCCGTACGACAGTTATGGGTTTTATGATTATATCCATACATTCAAGAATGTTCTTCTTATCAGTTTTAAATTTTTTAATCGAGAATACGTCAAAATATGTTTCAAATCGAAGTCGCCAACTTGAAACTAGTTTTGTAATGCTCGAGAAAGCTGCCTTCTGATTGGCTAATGTCGATTTCTTGTCAGTCATTTCATTGGTCGGTCAAAATTCGCAAAAGGTCATTCTGACGTAATGGGATGTCCTTAGATCTTTGTTTAGCGTCGGCGAAAACTAAGATCTGATTTTAATGAGATTGAGAGAGCAAAATCTGCAACTTTAAATAAAGTTATACACTCTAAGAAAACCAAGAAATTAACAAAAGGCCTTCCAAGACATGACTACCAACTGAAGCATCTCACTTACCTGCATGAGTACTCACCTCTCCAGCAACTACATCACACACAACACTTACTCCATCATCTCCACCATCATGTCTCCAACAGCGGCCATGGATCCCTCATTCAAATCCCTGTTCAGCATATTCCTTTCAAAACAAGCTTTTCAACATGCCTCATGTGTTAGTTCCATTGCTCCACATGCATGTGAGTCACATGCCTGCGTTACATATAAAGCTATGGTAATCACCGCCACCAGCAAACAGGCCTGAACATGCCAATTCTTTTATGACACATGCTTCCTTCTTGGATTCCCAGGCTCAAGCATGATTTCTTAAATTTGATATATAGAGAATCTCACCCAAGTGTCTTTTGATATCAAATATATCTACACGAGTCGACAAAAGTTTAAAACTCCGAGGCTTGCCGAGTGTTGGGTGTTAATATATTTGATATCAAAAGACACAAGGGTGAGATTCTATTTATAATCCAACATCATTCTTCAATCTTTTTCAGTTTGTAGACATTAATAAGCAGTGTCTAGTGTAAAAAGTACTGCTAACAGCTTCAGAAGCAGAGCCATTAGTGATGTCATTTGATTGTGATGTCATGAGTGAGTGAGTGAGTGAGTGAGTATGGTTTTACGCCGCTTTTAGCAATATTCCAGCAATATCACAGCGGGGGACACCAGAAATGGGCTTCACACATTGTGCCCATGTCGGGAATCGAACCCAGGTCTTTCGGTGTGACAAGGGAACGCTTTAACCACTAGGTTACCCCACCGGTGTGATGTCATGGTAACCAATCACATCACAATGGTCTGCAAAGCATTGTGATGCAATTTCACTGTAGCGATATCAACAATGTAGATATCGCTTGATCTCACCTAAGCGACATCTCCTGTGGGAGCCAGTTTTGGATGATAAATGTTTTCTATGGTAGCCTGCCTATTGCAAAGCAATTCTATTCAGTTTGAAGTGTAAGTGTTTGATACCATTTAAGTCCGAGACTATGCATGGGACTACAATAATATATAGCAAATACGAGCTGCTTACATTGCCACTCCAGTGCAACTCCATTTATCCAGACAGTACTGTTCCCAATGAAAATGTTCAGACCATCAAATCAACCAATCACAGGTACATAGGAGAGATGTTAACCCTAATGGAAGCTTTGGAGTAATCAGTGGGGTACAAAAGCATAATTTCATGTGAAAAAGTGAGTGAGTTTAGTTTTACGCCGCTTTTAGCAATATTCCAGCAATATCACGGTGGGGGACACCAGAAATGGGCTTCACACATTGTACCCATGCAGGGAATCGAACCCAGGTTTTCATAGTGACTGCTACCCGACTGCCCCCTCATGTGTAATGTTAAGAGTACCATGCCATGATGCTGGTTTTCGTTACGACATTTTTGTTAGGCCTCTACGTAAATGAAGCATGGTACACATGATTCCAGTGATGAAGCCAAAAAGAAATATGAGTGTACATGTGATTACTTCCCTGTAGAATGCTTCACATGCTCTCCATGATATTTTATACATGTAAATCATGCGAGAAAATATGTCAAAAATCATAATTTGGGGAGGATAAGCACAACGGCATAATTTTAGGCTCAAAGCGTAATTATTACATCGAAAGTGTAATGTTTGGCATCTCTGCCTTGCAATGGCCTTCTAATCATAAATGGACACTTCCAACAGTTATTGTCCAGAAGAGGTTTGTGACCAACAGGGCCCAAATTATCAAGATTTCACATACCGTATTCGACGTAATAAGCGCCCAGGGCGAACTCAAAATTAGAAATAGGGGGCTCTTATTAGAATATTATTTTGGTGAAAAAAACAGAGTTTATGCTGACAAACTGAAGTGTTTACATACGACAGATATATTTTTCCAGAATTTAATTGCCCATAATTAAGGGTGCATATAACACACGAGTGCGTATTATACACGAATAAATAAGTCTTGTGTACATTGATCAATTGGAAGGGGTGCTAATTGGGACTGTTCACCAGCCAATATATTAGCAAATGGTGCATATAACACACGAGTGCGTATTATACACGAATAAATAAGTCTTGTGTACATTGATCAATTGGAAGGGGTGCTAATTGGGACTGTTCACCAGCCAATATATTAGCAAATGTCGCCATTGGCGCTTATTAGAGTAGGGCGCTTATTACGTCGAATAAAGTAATGGCAAGCAACTGGATTGTACTAATATTAATGTGACCTGTCATGAAACGATGTGATAAAAAGAAACATATGTTTGAATGATGAACTACATGAACTATATGACAGACATACTAAATAACTACACTTCAAAATACTGTGGTTTGCCCTTCCTTTCCCACTCAAACTTCCACAAGCCAAACGTGTCATGCTCAGTGACGTACACAGTGTTGCATTGTGGGTGGAAGTGCAGATTGCTGACTTTGGAGAACGGACACTTGATGCGTTTCTGTGGCAATCCACCCTCCGGACTGAACACTTCTATGTATCCACTGCCCCAGTGTGCCACCAGTAGATTGTTGTCCTCGTCAAAGTCCATCCCATCAGCCCCACCCTCATGGCCACCTGACATAAATACCACAGAGTGAGTTGATGTTGTTTTATGCCACAGATCAACTAGTCTTTCATACGAGATGTAGATCACAACACAACAAACATGTTTATAAAGTTTGAAATATCAAAGTTTTCTCAAATACAATTAGCCATGCTGCTATATTTGATGATGCAAAAGAAAGAAAAATGTCTAGTTTTCATAATAATAACAACAACAACAACAACAATAATAGATATTTTATATTGCGCATACTTCCACACCACACAGGGGCATGCTCAAACCATTATTATTACTTGGGTCACTGGATTAGTTTGCACTCAACAATCATTCTCATCTCCCTGGGGAGTATACAACCCAAGCTTCCTATTAGTAAAATTAGTCAGTACACATGCCTGATAATGTTTTTAATGACTTAATGATCACAAAATAATAAAACAATGTTTCAAAATGGCTTCTAATAACATATTATCTCAGATAGGACAACACAAAAAAATATCAAACGTGTAAAGCATAATGGGATAACAGTTCCCTACCAGGGAGTCTCCCCCACACTGTCTTGTTGGCAACCCTCCCAGGCTCGACAATGTCGTACCCCCACAGCAGTTTTGTTGGGGTCTCGGCTACAATCAGTTTCCTGGGCTGGCCGTTGTCGGAGTGGAGTACAGCTAGGCCGTTAGGGAATCGAATCCCTGTGTCCACTCTAATCACTTGACCATCTCTCAACATGCAGTACACAGAGCCGAAGGGATCCTGTGACAGACAACATCAACAAATAACTAGCATCTATAATCATCTACAGAGCCATCTTCCCGAGGCAAGAGAGTTAACTGACTTTAATAGTCCAGTTTCCCGAGGCAAGAGAGTTAACTGACTTTAAAAGTCCAGTTTCCACCCTTGACACTAGGCTAGAATTCCTGGGTTTGATAGTAGCACCACCAGTGGCTATTACGAGTTATGTCCTTTCTATGCCTCTCCTATGGACCAATCAGATTCCACCTCTCGTATCACTTGCATTTGCTTCAAACAAAACGGTGGCGCCCAGTCAAGACGATCTGATCGATAATCAAGATCTATATTGTGATAAAACGAGTCTTACATCGCCAAGTGCATCAAATCACGTGAGCACCTTGTTTAAAAACAGGAAAAGATTTAGAAAATATCTGTTGACAACGAGTTAGCGGTGCACATGCTTTGCAAATCCTGCAGTTGACCGAAATCTGCATGACACTTTACGAACCTGATTTCGATTTTGGTGCGCGATTTTGATTGGACTATGCATAGACTCGTTAGTCCAGCCAAAATGTTACTCCATAATACCAGCCTAGTTCGGAAAGGGTGGAAACTGGACTTTTATAGTCAGTTAACTCACTTGCCTCGGGAAGATGCTACAAAGCATAATTGTGAGTGAATGTTTTACATGTTTTCACATCACATCAGGATCTGAATTCCAAAGTTTACACTTGAAATTTTATCAAAATTCATCAGTATTTCTTTAAGTTATTGTCTACAGTCTGACCTGGAACGATCTTGTGTAAGGAGCTGGAGCTATCTCCCCTGCAGGCGCTGTCACCCACAGTGACCCCTGGTAGTCAAATATGCAGTCATTACAGCCCTGCATTGGACGTCCTTCGCTGTCATTCTTAGCCAGCTGAAATATATATCATATACATTTTATAGGGCATTATCATTTGCAGAAGCCTTCGGTCTGTTTAAATAAATCGCTGGTATATCATGATTGCTTGAAATCAACAACTAATCAGGTGAGATTTAGGTCTAGTTAGAACAAGAATCATCGGTCAGTGAGTGAAGTGAGGGGATTTGGGTTTAACGTCGCGTCCAAGATTATTGCACTTATATAGCGACGTGCATGCACGTGTATGTGTGTGTGTGTGGCTGCTTGTACTAGTCCGGACTGATGCCGATTTATAGTGCTAGCTCGCTGAGATACCATGCCGCAATTAACATGAATACCCCACTCAGACACAGTATACTGACTCCGAGCCGACCAGTCCTTGTTTTAGCCCCTTAATGCCGAGCGCCAGACAGGGTAACAACAAGTACCATCTTTTAACGTCTTTTGGTATGACGCAGCTGGGGATTGAACCCCAGACCTTCTGGGCGGACGCTCTACCATTAGACCATGGAGGCGGTCCCGGTCAGTGAGTGAGTGAGTTGGGTTTAACAGTATGCCAGTTACATCACGACGTGTCAGCTTGATGTGGGAGGAAAGCCCGTACTGAGAAAGGTCTTCGAAGTTTACCACTTTGGTGAAATCCATGAACACAGGTATGGTGTTGACAAAGCTAAAAGGTAAGGCAAGCAAGTGGTTCCCCACATCAGCAACACTCCACACCGTCTGGGCATGATGACGCCAAGATCAACAAGGTCTCACATGATTACCACCAGAGCCTCATTAACCATCTCTCACAATAAGCATAGCCTACTGAAGATCCGGTACTGCAAGCTTGTAAGAGTCAACCAACGAGGATCAGATTCACACAACTTACAAATCTCAGAACTAGGTTAAAGTTGTCATAGTCTCTCTATATTTTCTAGTATTCTACACGAATTTACCTGTGTCATTTGTCCATCAGGTGTGACTTTGAGAATCCCAAGTCGCATATCAGAAACTCGAAACGTTCCATCTTTACCAAACTGCATACCAGCCGGGATGCCGCCATAGCCATCAATAGATGGCTCCACAAGCACACTTGTCTGAAACAGATATAAAGAGGCTCTGTCATCACTGGTAAGAGTGAATTTCATGATTTTGTTTCTTACGAACACATTAAAATACACATACAATAACCCTAATTCTAACTGTATGACTCATATGTCAGTCAACTCCAAGTTTAACCAAGTAATGTATGTGATAATGGCGAATCAGTCTTCAAAAGTGAATCCATGTCTAATCCTTGTTGTTCCTGCCCATCCAAGGTTCATACAGATACGGAACACTATATTCAAGGCCATTTCAAGGCTTTCAACTGTCATTTTCAAGGTTTTTCCAAGGTTGACACTAAAAATCAAGGCTTTTCAAGAGGGACCTTAAACATGTTAAAGTTCAAGGCTTTTTCAAGCCTGTATGAACCCTGCCATGTGAAGAACCAACTTCATATACCAGTATTTGGGAAGAGATTCTGAAAGTTCCTTTGAGTTAGTTACATCTGGAGCTGTGATGGACATTCAATAATCTTATTTCATATGCAGAACTTAAAAAATTGTGGTGCAACGTCACGTTGGTTGGTTTGTTGTTTAACGCAGCACTCAGCAATATCCCAGCTATATGACGGCGGTCTGTAAATAATCGAGTCTGGACCAGACAATCCAGTGATTGATATCATGAGCATCGATCCACGCAATTGGGATTGATGACATGCATCAACCAAGTCAGCGAGCCTGACCAACCGATCCCGTTAGTCGCCTCCTACGACAAGCCTAGTCGCCTTTTACGGCAAGCATGGGTTGCTGAAGACCTATTCTACCCCGGATCTTCACAGGTTGCAACATCACGTTCAAAATCAGACATTTCTGATTATTTTCTGATCCCAAACTGTCAATTTGCATCTGAGAGAATAATTACTTCTGTACATTTGCATGTATTTCAAAAGGTCCTAATGTGTATTGAGTGCCTATTAGTCGGGGGGAACATATGGTAGTTTTACCATTGCTTACTCATATTTTCAGCATGTTTAGTTGGGAATATAATTTTTAATACAACATTTTGTTCATAAAGATACCTGTTTCTTTTCCAAGTCAACTTTTAATACTTGTCCTGCATATTTTCCATTCTTTTCCACTTCTGGGGCAACCATGTAGAAGTGTGATCTGTTGTTGAACACAGGCCCTTCAGCGCCAGGAATCCCATCAAGAACATTGGTAAAGTTGAGCTCAACAATAACAGCTCCAGTGGTTCTACCATTGGTTTCAACTCTGAAAGAACTCTAAGCTATCAACTCATAATCCAAATCATGAACAAGTTTGATAATAATAATGTAAGTGACTGAGTTATGCTAGTAAGTGAGTTGGATTTAACGCCGCTTTGACGTCTGAAGCCTGGAGCCTTTTCCTCACCACCCTGTATCATGATTTTAGATTACGAAATGGGATGGGTGTGCCAAATGGCATCGGGATCACTCGTAAAGTGTCCGTAGACTAAAGCCATGCCTACCCATAACCTTCTGGTTGCTTGCCTTAGTGACATGACTTACGGCAGAGGTTGTACTCACGAGAGTGAGTGAGTATGGTTTTACGCTGCTTTTAGCAATATTCCAGCAATATCGCGGCGGGGGACACCAGAAATGGGCTTCACACATTGTACCCATGTCGGGAATCGAACCCATGTCGGGAATCGAACCCAGGCCTTTGGCGTGACGATCGAACGCTTTAACCACTAGGCTACCCGACCGCCCTGTCCTCACGAGAAGTTGTGGTGCTGTATTCCAAAGGTGCTCCGATATCTTATATAAGAAATGTCAATACAACAAAGGGTAATATGCTAGAATCAGCATTGTAGAGAGGCCTCCACATCAGGAACATAAAGTGTGTCTACGGAACCTCTACAGTGTATTAACGTCTTAGTTTCAATTCATTTCAATGGCTGACCTAGTTAGGTTTGCGGTTTCTGTCAAAAGTAAACAAACCACAAATTTGTGTAATTCATGGTAATAGACCTGAAGACAACACACACACACAAATCATTGTTTTCCATCGAAACATATTAGTTTGAATAAAAATTGAGAGATAATGAAGGATGTTCTGTAGCAAACCCATGAGAAAGAAATAGAAAACAGCTGAGAGCAACAAGATGAACGATGTTTCCCAAGTCTGCCATGATTGTCGGTAACGAGTCGGCATCATTTACGACATACAAAATATCCTATACTTTATTAATATAAACAACATTGCGGGTAACATTAATATAGAGTAAATATTAGGCCGTTAACCTCATAGGGATACGGCAATGGTCGTTTTTATTTTTGCGACTTTCCAAAATTCGTCATTTTGGGAGCCACCAATATGGCGGCCTCGATGGTTCGCCCTGGCCGTAACATTCGAAGTAGCCGATTTCGAGGTAAGTGTATGCCATTGAGTGTACTGACTTGTGTTTTCATACATCGCATTTGCTGTAGGAGTGTTTTTACGTGTATGCATTCATTTTTCAGCTCGGCGCGAAAGCGGCAGTGAAGAAACAGTGAGGTTGGATTGGAGTAAAGGTTGGCAGTTTTGACTTCCCTACCCGAAATGTCATCTGAATAATATTTTAAATGTAGAGCATATTCGTCACAGTACAACAGGTGGTGTTTCTACGCGTAACAATGAAATTACTTGAGATCAAGACACAGGTATACCGGTAATGTATCACTCTAATGTTGGTTAGGCGGATAGGATATGACCTTACATCCATCACATTTCTAACACTATTTGAATACGATGATATGAATTTAAAGGGCAACGATGCTATAGGGCGAGTTGCACATCTCCTGAAATTTTGATTAGGCCCTTGGTGAAACAAAGATGTTGTCTCTGTGAAATTACCTGATACATAACTGTTCTCAGTATATGCATCCTTATATTGAGCTTGTAAACAAGAAGACATTTTTGAGAGAATAAAACTTACTAGACTGACAACTGACTGGAGCCTACTCCCTCTTCCTTGATAATTCAAATGAGTAAGATAGCATTTAGCTTTCTTGGGTCTTGCTTGCCTTACAGCATAGAAATTACAAATTGTTCATATTGAACTAAAGTGACCATGTTGATTGATTGTTATTTTAAATTTCAAAAACATTACAGAGATTCTTAGATTCTGAGATAATTAAAAGTAATTGCCAATGACCCAACACTGAACAATTGGTTAATGCCAGTATGTAATATGTATATACTTCATCTTCAGCTATGTACCTATCTTCCTTCATGGTATATACATAGAAATGTTCACACTGTTTCTGTCAGTAGTTATCTAATTTTTTGTGATTGCCACAAATCAAGTAACACCAAATAAGATCAAAGCTTAATGCTAAACATGCTAAAACCGTATCAGCTCTTTTTAGTTTGAGGTAAAACTTATATTTCAAGTTTAAAATACAAACAGATCATTTATTCGCAATTTTAATGTTTTGTTCAAACGATTAGTGTTGCATGTACCGTAAATGACCGTAGATAAGCTGATCTCATATTTGAGCCGAGGTACTAACTTTGTCCTTGAAATCTGTATCAAAATGTTTGGGATGTAAGCCGGACCACCAACCTAAAACTATGTCTCGTCATGATCCGTCATCAGAAATAGAATATCAACAATCCGTATTGAATTACTCAAATTAATCTTTACATAGGCCGAAACCTTTCAACAGAATTTTTTTTCTGGTCCTCAAAATTCGGTTTATCATCTACGGTCATATACAGTATCTGAAAACCAACTAACTTACAAATGACATTATACGTGTTGAGTGAAAATTTGGTACCACAAAACTCGCACAAAACACAGTCTTTTTTGTGTAATGTGTTTCAATGTTAATAAGTTTAGTCCCCAATGTTATGTTAAATAAATTGTAAGACATCACTAAAATTTTTGTTAAATTGTCTCATTACTGGTCCCATAATTCCAGAAGTAACATGGTTAAAATTGATGAAAGCATTATGTGACAGGGATGTGAAATCTCCGCGGAAACGCAGAAAATCACGTTTTTTAAAAAAAATCATCTTCAGCATAAAAATTATAATCAAAGATAACTTTGAAATTTTAATTATTGAAGATTGAGACAGTGTTAATGTCCAAACTGCAAAAAAATTGCTTAAAATGCAATCAAAGGTTTAAAAAAAACCCTTGAGTTTACCTCTTTTGTTGGGAGAACCTGCTTACATCCCTAATGTTAACATTGTCATGATCTCAATATTATGTTTTACACAACGAACACGTTGCATTGGAAGATGCCAACAGTTGCGCTTATACATCGTGAAGATATGGGTTAGAATCGGTCTTCAGCAACCTATGCTTGCTGTAAAAGGCATCCGACAGGATCGGGTGGTCAGGCTTGCTGACTTGGTTGATGCATGTGATTGTATCCCAATTGCTTGAATCTATGCTCATGATGTCATGATCACTGGATTGTCTGGTCGAGACTTGATTAGTTTACAGACCACTGTCATATAGCTGGAATATTGCTGAGTGCAGCATTTAGCAACAAACATAGAAACATTGCCCATTTGGCATAATAATTACGGTTTTGAGCCTAAAATTACACTATTCCGATTGTCCTGCCAAAATTATGATTTTTGTATTTATTTATTTTTCATGAATTATTTACATTTACAAAATATCACATTGAAAATTGTCAATGTACTGGTGATGTGAAGCATTCTACAGGGAACTAATTGCATGCACACGGATCAGCAATAGAACCTAACTGTTTTAGTTCACTTGTCCTTATGATGATCACATATAGCAAAACCCTAATAATGGCAAATTTCTACTAGTCCTTATGATACCATTACAATTGGTCAGTTTGGCAAGGACTATAGGACTAGTGCCAATTTCCTACACTGCCAATATTTCTCCGGTACTTGAAGCACCACATTGTCTTTTTGCAATACAGTTTATAATCATTGTCACATGATGAATTTTATGAATGGTTTGAGCTATGACAAGGTGTTGCGACAAGAATGCAGTTTGCAGGACCCTCTGCAAGTTTTTTCGATGCCATTTTTTTGTTTCCTTGCTAAAATAACAGCGTAACTGTAAATCATATGTTTTGAGATAAATACACTTCCCCCATTCCCAACAGCTTGAATTCAGTGCTTTCATGAGGAAATGCGTTTTTAAATTAGCTAAGTTATACAAAATATGTGCTTGTTGAAATGTGGCTCTGATGGATGTCACTGATAAGGCTGTCGCACACCGTTATGGAACTTCTATTATTTAGTAGGTTTTTGATGTTGATGTCCATTTTGTTATGTTTATGGATTATGTTGATTTTCAGTTTTGAGGTTTAATCCTATTGTACATGTTAAACCATTCAAACGCAAGTGTAGTAATTTTTTCAGCCTATTGTAAGCCTTTTCTCCATATTTGTCAAATAGTGACGCTGTCGTGCGTGGCTTTATTACTAACAGCAATGTGTGTACCTGTGTTCCATGTACGTCAAGGCCTAACAAAAAAAATGCCAAAGCAAAGACCTGCATAGGGTACTCTAACATAACTCGTTTTTACATGAAATTACGCTTTTTTACCCCACTGATTACCAAGGCTTCAATTAGGGTTGGCATCTCTGGTTCCAGTCCCACACTCACAATCTTGTCACTGTGTCTAATGATGTTAGTGCTGTGGTGATCCAACTGCTAATAGTGTGTATGTGTAGGTTTGCGCCCTCCTCAAGGGTGAGGGGGCACGGGTGGCCCAGTCGTCTAAGGCGCCTCGATTCACTGTGCAGAGTTGCGTCCCCTTGACACGCCAGAAACCTATGATTGTTGGTTCGAATCCCGGTTCACCCCGATTATGTTTCTAGGTTTGTCAGCACCATACCCGTACTCGTGGGTTTCACCAAAGTGGTAAACATCTGAGACCTGCATCACTTCGGGCTTTCCTCCCACATTAAGCTGACACGCCATGATATAACTGGAATAATGTTAAAAGCAGCGTTAAACCCAACTCACTCACTCACTCAAGGGTGATATAGGTCATCACTCGAGGCGTCATCCCACCGCAGGGACGGCACCAGCTGAATTGTACCAAGTGGGCTACGACTGAGATGCGTTTTACATGCTAATGCAAAACTGTGAACCAAGGCTTGTTTCCCTCTCGTCTAAATCAAATCATGCAACATCTGCATGTTGCGTGCCTGAGGTTGTTCAATTTGTTGGGAAGCATAACATCTTGCCAAAACAATGGATGCACATGGCATAACAATCTGTAGTAACTTCTTTTACCCTTGGGCACTCACACCCATCCTCTTTCCTGATTTTCCATTTGTTATATTCATCAACTTTGGGTTGGTAGTTTTAAGTTCTTGTACTTCTTGTTCTTGTAGCATGCTAGAATGTGCAATTGTCATCGGGGTATGATTTCAGTGTTAGAAATTGGCACTAGTCCTGTAGTCCTTGCCAAACTGCCCAATAGTTAAGGTATCATAAGGACTAGTAGAAATGTACTAGTAGAAATTTGCTATTATTAAGGGTTTTGCTATATTGTTATCATGATAAGGACTAGTGAACTAAAAATGTTATTTTGTACTGCTGTACTCACTACTTCTTCTTCTGGGGCGGTCGGTAGCCTAGTGGTTAAAGCATTTGCTCGTTACGCTGACCTGACATGGGTACAATGTGTGAAGCCCATTTCTGGTGTCCCCTGCCTCACTCACTCACTCACTCACTACACAGATAGTTATTGTTGTTTGCTTGTTGTTTTTACGCGACACACAGCAATGTTGCAGCTGTATGACAGCAGTTTGTAAATAATTGAGTCTGGACCGGACAATCAAGTGACTGACAACCTGTGATCTGTGAAATAAAAGTAAAAATAATATAAGACTAAAGTACTTTGCAAAACTAAAACTCATTGTTATCATTAGTATTACCGGTAATTACAATAACCTGGATTAGAAAGTTTCAACATGTTCAACATAAATTTGTAGATATTGACCACTTGAGGACACCTAAATAAATCTCTGATTTTATCCTTTGTTGCTTCAATAAATAACGTATCATGATAAAAAAAACAAGGTTATGCTTTCATGCTGATAATTATAAGACAAATACAGAATTAGAAATTAAAACCAATATTTGAATATGTCTGCTGTAGCCTAGTAGTGGCACTGTAAACCTTTAGCTTTTTTCAGTTGTTGTTATGACAAGCATAACTTTCATGCTTAATTACGAACATTGACCAATGGTGAACAATGGTGAAGTATTTTGGATGAATTAGATCTGTTCATACCACCATAATGTGTTGTGAGTGCTGCGTGGACAGTATTCTGCTGGACTGGCTGACCCATCATTGTTGACTTGGTGGAACTGTAGCATAAGCATTTGTTTATACAAAAGTACACTTTGAAATAGTTTGTTTTGAAAACATTGACATGGTGACTACAATATCCGATTATGTTTGTGTGGTGGAGAATCACTGTGTGATCCATAACCATGATAGCATCAAGGTCATGGTGACATCCTACTTAAAGGTGGACCAACAGCTGTCATTCTGATTGTTTTCTTCTTTTGGGGCATGGGTGGACCTGTAGTTGAGGTGCTGCACATCACTGCGGAGTTGCATCCCTTAGTTGTGCCAGGATCTGATGATCATGGGTTCTCAATCCCAGATTATCCTCCTTGGTATGCCAACACAATATATTTTGTTTGTGGGTTTCACAACAGTGATTTTTCTTGCACATAAACATGACACACCGTACCCGTCCTTGTTGGTTTCACCGCAGTGGTTAATATCTGTGACCTGCATCACTTCGGGCTTTCCACCCAAATCAAGCTGACACGCCGTGATATAACTGGAATACTGTTAAAAGTGGCATTAAACCCTCCTGCCTCGCTCACTCAAAGTGATGTTAACATGGGTAAGCCCAACTCACTCTTCCTCATTCCACAATTCCAATGCAAAATTACAAGATACAAAAGTCCAACCGGAAATTTTACTTCATAATTGAAAGGCAAGTGTAATTTACTGATTTGTATACTGAAGGCATGTATGTTGTGCTTGTGAATATTATAAAATGTAGATTTATCAATCTGTGATTTATAGTGTAATATGTGCCGTTACTTCTTCCAGATGTGTCGGAAAACGTCAAAGAAATACTTCGTCACATTGTACAGCAAAACAATGTCAGCAAAGGGAAGAAGCTGGGCTACTTGAACTGTTTTGTCAAACTCATACACAAGTATGGGAAGGAGAAAGGCCTGGGTCTCAAAAGCAGAGACATTCTTATTTGGTAAGTGGATGATGAGGATCTAGTCCGATATGTCAGTCATCCTGATTGAGGAAATTTGTTTTGCTGTTTAGGGTGGCTGAGTTGGCCCAGGCAACGCAACTTGCTGTGCAGAGTTGTGTCCCTTGGGCACATCAGAAACTTATGATTGTGGGTTCGAATCCTGGTTCGCCCTGATTATGTTTGTGGGTCTGTTAGCACCATACCCATGCATTGTGGATTTCACCAAAGTTGTAAACATTCAAGACTGCCTTATCTTTCCATCTAGACTAACTAGTCGCTAGGTGAGACCATAGACATGACACCTGTTGCCGATCGGTGACATTCTAGACACTGTCTTGTCTTTACATCTAGACTATCTAGTCACTAGGTGAGACCTTAGACATGACACCTGTTGCCATGACATTCTAGAAACTGCCTTGTCTTTACATCTAGACTATCTAGTCGCTAAGTGAGACCATAGACATGACACCTGTTGCCGATCGGTGACATTCTAGACACTGCCTTGTCTTTACATCTAGACTATCTAGTCGCTAAGTGAGACCATAGACATGACACCTGTTGCCAATCTAAGACATTCTAGAGACTGCCTTTACATCTAGACTATCTAGTCACTAGGTGAGACCATAGACATGACACCTGTTGCCGATCGGTGACATTCTAGACACTGCCTTGTCTTTACATCTAGACTATCTAGTCGCTAGGTGAGACCTTAGACATGACACCTGTTGCCAATCAGTGACATTCTAGACACTGTCTTGTCTTTACATCTAGACTATCTAGTCACTAGGTGAGACCTTAGACATGACACCTGTTGCCATGACATTCTAGAAACTGCCTTGTCTTTACATCTAGACTATCTAGTCGCTAGGTGAGACCATAGACATGACACCTGTTGCCAATCTAAGACATTCTAGAAACTGCCTTTCCATCTAGACTATCTAGTCGCTCGGTGAGACCTTAGACATGACACCTGTTGCCGATCAGTGACATTGTAGACACTGCCTTTACATCTAGACTACCTTGTTGCTAGGTGAGACCATGGACATGGCACCTGTTGCCAAGATTACGACATTCTAGACATTGCCTTTACATCTGCTGTGCAGAGTTGTGTCCCTTGAGCACACCAGAAACCTATAAGTATAACCATGTTTTGAATCCTGGTTTGTCATCCAAGACCTGCATCACTTCAGGCATTCCTCCACATGAAGCTGACACACAGTGATGTAACTGGAATCCTGTTCAAAGCGGGTTTGAAGCCAACTCACTCATATTGCAATCTTGAGGGAGAGCATGAGGCTTCACCCTGCAGTCTGCAGTATTTCACTATATCACAGTAGCCCAAAAATAATCAGGACAAATAAGTGGTTGATAAAGTAAACATCCCACTGCCAACAAAGTAGCCTGACTAAACAATCCCCATCTTATAATAGTTACCTCTTTCTACAAGCATTGGTTACTTTCAAGCAACTCTATCCCAAAATCCCTGTGGAAAAGTTTCGCAGTCTTCAGTTTATCTAGTCCTTTAAGAACATTCAGTAGAACAGTTTCCAAAGACGTTATTGTTTTCTCAGTATGCAGAAAATTAAAACTCAATAAAATCCATGGTGGCACAGATCAGGCAAGGAAAGATAACTCTGTTAAAATGCAGATAATATTGACATTCATTGAAGTATTATTATAATTAGTTGTTTTGCTCAATAAAAAACTGAAAATTGATGATCCCCTAAACAGTGTTGTTTGAACACATTTTTTACTGATCCACAGTATGGGGAGGAATATTCTTGTCACATTTCTTGGCCTTATGTGTCAACAGATAAGATACAAACTTTTATCATACCTCCATGTCAGAATGATGAGATCTGATTGATCCACGTTATCTTGATAAAATATGATGTATCCTGCCTCAGGGGAATTAATTTCACAGCGGGCAATTAAATCCAATATTCCCTGCCATGAGCAAGTCAGGCTGCACATGGATTTCTGAGAGGCGGAATAAATCCCTTATACCAGTTTCCAAGCTGTTTTCTTTCAATTTCTAATTTGTTTTAATTTCTTTTAAACCCCATGAAGATCCAGGGTTGACTTGGGCTTCAAGGCGACTATGCTTGTTGTAAGAGGTAACTAATGGTCAGACTTGCTGACTTGGATCATGTGGATGATGCATGTCATCGTTTCCCATCGTATCATGTCATCGTAGAATTACAAGACTATGTTGGATATTGCTATTTGTTGTCACTATTTGGGAAAGTAGAAGTTCTTGGCTAATTTTTATTCCTTAACATTGTGAGCTATGATACCTTCCTTAGGGTTGGGAAAACCTTCACAGAGAGGATTAGAGAATAATTGGACTCATTGTGATTAACTTTTGTTTGTTTTTTCAGTTTGCGAGTTGGACTTTTGCATGAAGCTAAGGAAGTACGAGCTGCCACCTTGAGAGTATTTCGGCACCTGTTGCCGATCGGTGACATTCTAGACACTGCCTTGTCTTTACATCTAGACTATCTAGTCGCTAGGTGAGACCTTAGACATTACACCTGTTGCCGATCGGTGACATTCTAGACACTGCCTTGTCTTTACATCTAGACTATCTAGTCGTTAAGTGAGACCTTAGACATGACACCTGTTGCCGATCGGTGACATTCTAGACACTGCCTTGTCTTTACATCTAGACTATCTAGTCGCTAAGTGAGACCTTAGACATGACACCTGTTGCCAATCAGTGACATTCTAGACACTGCCTTTACATCTAGACTATCTAGTCGCTAGGTGAGACCATAGACATGACACCTGTTGCCGATCTGTGACATTCCAGACGCTGCCTTGTCTTTACAGCTGGGCTATCTAGTCGCCAGTTGAGAACATAGACATGACACCTGTTGCCATGACATTCTAGAGACTGCCTTTACATCTGGGCTATCTAGTCGCCAGTTGAGACCATAGACATGACACCTGTTGCCATGACATTCTAGAGACTGCCTTTACATCTGGGCTATCTAGTCACCAGTTGAGACCATAGACATGACACCTGTTGCCAATCAATGACATTCTAGAGACTGTCTTTACATCTGGGCTATCTAGTCGCCAGTTGAGACAAAAGACATGACACCTGTTGCCAATCAATGACATTCTAGAGACTGTCTTTACATCTGGGCTATCTAGTCGCCAGTTGAGATCATAGACATGACACCTGTTGCCAATCAATGACATTCTAGAGACTGTCTTTACATCTGGGCTATCTAGTTGCCAGTTGAGACCATAGACATGACACCTGTTGCCATGACATTCCAGAGACTGCCTTTACGTCTGGGCTATCTAGTCGCCAGTTGAGACCATAGACATGACACCTGTTGCCAATCCACGACATTCTACATGTTCTAGACACAGCCTTTCATCTGGTCAATATAGTTGCCAGTTGGGACCATAGACATGACACCTGTTGCAATGACATTCCAGAGACTGCCTTTACATCTGGGCTATCTAGTCAACAGTTGAAACCATAGACATGACACCTGTTGCCATGACATTCTAGAGACTGCCTTTACATCTGGGCTATCTAGTTTCCAGTTGAGACCATAGACATGACACCTGTTGCCATGACATTCTAGAGACTGCCTTTACATCTGGGCTATCTAGTTGCCAGTTGAGACCACAGACATGACACCTGTTGCCATGACATTCTAGAGACTGTCTTTACATCTGGGCTATCTAGTCCTCAGTTGAGACCATAGACATGACACCTGTTTCCAATCAATGACATTCTAGAGACTGTCTTTACATCTGGGCTATCTAGTCGCCAGTTGAGACCATAGACATGACACCTGTTGCCATGACATTCTAGAGACTGCCTTTACATCTGGGCTATCTAATCGCCAGTTGAGACCATAGACATGACACCTGTTGCCATGACATTCTAGAGACTGCCTTTACATCTGGGATTTCTAGTCGCCAGTTGAGACCATAGACATGACACCTGTTGCCATGACATTCTAGAGACTGCCTTTACACCTGGGCTATCTAGTCGCCAGTTGAGACCATAGACATGACACCTGTTGCCATGACATTCTAGAGACTGCCTTTACATCTGGGCTATCTAGTCGCCAGTTGAGACCTTAGACATGACACCTGTTGCCATGACATTCTAGAGACTGTCTTTACATCTGGGCTATCTAGTCGCCAGTTAAGACCATAGACATGACACCTGTTTCCAATCAATGACATTCTAGAGACTGTCTTTACATCTGGGCTATCTAGTCGCCAGTTGAGACCATAGACATGACACCTGTTGCCAATCAATGACATTCTAGAGACTGTCTTTACATCTGGGCTATCTAGTCACCAGTTGAGACCATAGACATGACACCTGTTGCCAATCCACGACATTCTACATGTTCTAGACACAGCCTTTCATCTGGTCAATCTCGATGCTACATGAAACCACAGATGTGACAATTTTGATGACCAGTGACTTTCTACATGTTCCAGACATTGCCGTTTTTCTGGTCAATATAGTTGCCAGTTGAGACCATAGACATGACACCTGTTGCCATGACATTCCAGAGACTGCCTTTACATCTGGGCTATCTAGTCAACAGTTGAAACCATATACATGACACCTGTTGCCATGGCATTCTAGAGACTGCCTTTACATCTGGGCTATCTAGTTGCCAGTTGAGACCACAGACATGACACCTGTTGCCATGACATTCTAGAGACTGTCTTTACATCTGGGCTATCTAGTCGCCAGTTGAGACCATAGACATGACACCTGTTGCCATGACATTCTAGAGACTGCCTTTACATCTGGGCTATCTAGTCAACAGTTGAAACCATAGACATGACACCTGTTGCCATGGCATTCTAGAGACTGCCTCTACATCTGGGCTATCTAGTTGCCAGTTGAGACCATAGACATGACACCTGTTGCCAATCAATGACATTCTAGAGACTGTCTTTACATCTGGGCTATCTAGTGGCCAGTTGAGACCATAGACGTGACACCTGTTGCCATGACATTCTAGAGACTGCCTTTACATCTGGGCTATCTAGTCGCCAGTTGAGACCATAGACATGACACCTGTTGCCAATCCACAATATTCTACATGTTCTAGACACAGCCTTTCATCTGGTCTTTCTAGTTGGTAGGAGAGTCGACTGTGAAGATCTGGGGTAGAATACGTCTTCAGCAACCCATGCTTGCCATAAAAGGCAATGGAATCGGGTGGTCAGACTCGCTGACTTGGTTGAGACATGTCATCATATCCCAATTGCATGGATCGATGCTCATGATATCAATCACTGGATTGTCTGGTCCAGGCTCCATTATTTACAGACCGCCGTCATAGAGCTGGAATATTGCTGAGTGCGGCGTCAAACAACAAACAAAACAAACACACAAATGGTAGGTGAGACCATAGTCTTGACACCTGTTGCCAATCAGCAGCATTCTAGACACTGCCTTTACGTCTAGTCTCTCTTGTCTATCTAGCCATCTGTATTTTGTATGATGGACAGAAGTAGTCGTCATGTTATTTTATTTGACCACTTTTCAGATCTTTAGACATATGTATGGACAATGAGATAGAGCGTGTCCATGCCATCAAGTTGATCCGAAACATCTGCCAGCTGTCCCCCCAAAAGCTCTGCCCCTCCCTGCTGTATCCACTTATAGCTGTCGCCAACGATGGGGCCAGCGAGCGCGACCGACTGCTGCGAGTATGTCTTGCTAGTGTGTGTGAAATAGGTATGTCAAACTGGCAACCATTGCTTACTGTTGTTGGTTATGTGGATTAATAGGGACGTTTTATTATGATTGGTATCCCTGTAAGGAATCTCAATTGGAATAGGTGCAAAGAATCTATATATATTGGTATTGTGCGGAAATCGAAAGGAAGTAACAGAGAGAAAAAACATAGAAAAAAGTCACAAATTTGCCTGTGGAAAAAAACACACAGGAGAAACAACTATTTTGTATAGGAGAGTTTATTGCAGTTCAAACTTGACAATCATGATACAAAACAATATAAATAGATATTAACACAATAAGATTGAAAATATGAAGGTATGATAACATCAGTTGTATTTCTTGTGGGAGAGTAATCTATAAGTAGAAAACAGACAAATCCGTGGATTCAGCTTCTTGTTTAGGGTAATGTTTGACTGCTATTTACCTGCCTGACCAGGAGAGTATCTGCCATTGTGAACATCAACAAATTATGATATTAGGACTAAAGTGAGGTTTCTTTACTATTTCAGCTTTCCACAATACCAGTGTTTTGTACAAATGTGGTGGAGTGAGTTCAATTCTCAGGAACATATTGGCGTGTCACCAATACCCTCGCCTCAACGAGTCACTAGTCTGTACTGTGTTGTACCTCCTTAACCATCCACGCACCCGACACTACATCAAAGCCAACACCGACCTGGAGGTAAGCCCCACTGTGTGCTCTCACATACATGTCTCACATTGTGGAGGGGGGCGGTCGGGTAGCCTAGTGGTTAAAGCGTTCGCTTGTCACGCCGAGGACCCGGGTTCGCTTCCCGACATGTGTACAATGTGTGAAGTCCATTTCTGGTGTCCCCTGCCGTGATATTGCTGGAATATTGCTAAAAGCGGCGTAAAACCAAACTCACTCACTCACTCACATTGTGGAGGCTCGAGAATACAGCTCCAGGAACCCATTGCTCACGGTTGGAAATAAATTTGTATTTGTACTAGTACGAAAAATGGCCCACTACAGAGTTGTCATCTACCTAATGGTAAAAGTAGACGTCAGCAAATAATGCCACAACTCCTTACTGCGTTTTACCATTCTCAGACAAGCAGACTTATGTTAATTTTGAGCCCTGTTGCTTGTCACAAAAGGCACAGTTGGAACACTGTTGGTGGTCAGGTTGATTGGCTGAGCATGTGTTATACGATTTGTCTGCGTGTGTTTGGAGGTCTATATTTGGCCTTGAGGTTTTCACATCAGTTCTGTAGATATTTTTCACTTACTAGGTGGTAGATATTATTCCGTAACTAGGTGGTAGATATGATTCAATAACTAGGTGGTAGATATGATTCAGTAACTAGGTGGTAGATATGATTCAGCAACTAGATGAGAGATATGATTCAGCAACTAGGTGGTAGATATGATTCAGTAACTAGGTGGTAGATATGATTCAGTAACTAGGTGGTAGATATGATTCAGCAACTAGATGAGAGATATGATTCAGTAACTAGGTGGTAGATATGATTCAGCAACTAGATGAGAGATATGATTCAGTAACTAGGTGGTAGATATGATTCAGCAACTAGATGGTAGATATTATCGAGAAACTACATGGTAGATATGATTGAGTAACTAGGTATTAGATATGATTCAGTAACTAGGTGGTAGATATGATTCAGTAACTAGGTGGTAGATATGATTCAGTAGCTAGGTGGCAGATATGATTCAGTAACTAGGTGGTAGATATTCAGTAACTAGGTGGTGGATATTATTCAGTAACTAGGTGGTAGATATTATTGAGTAACTAGATGGTAGATATGATTCAGTAATTAGGTGGTAGATATTATTGAGTAACAAGGCAATTTCAGTGCTTAGTGTTACATTATTGAGTTGGATAGGATGCAATGCTCCAATACTTCTGAATTTCAGACAAATAAGGACTTTCCAAACGTTCCCAAATTTGGACCATATATTGATTTCTTTTCACATGGTCAGTTGGTTGAATTTGTATAGCCATAAAGAAAATCTTTTCTGTTTATACCTCCCTCACATTATTATATTTTCCTTTAATGATTGGTGCTTGAAGAATGCAAAACAAGTTACTTTTAAGTCTTTTTGATATCCCTGCTTCCATGTAGTAGCGGTAATTGTGTGTTTACGAGATTCATTACAACCCTGTAGCATGTGTTCAGAGCCTTCTTGGATTGATGATCATGGGTATATTTTGACTCACTTTCAGCAACTCTTGGCACCTTTCACAGACTGTCATTTCAAATACAGCGGAGAATCGGAACATTCCCATCAGTGAGTGTGCTCTCAGTACTGTGGATGTACATGATACACTGTAATACTCATGTGATGTGTATCACAACACTTTGTTTACCATACAATATAGGGATATATAGGCTAAAATGAATAATAGTCTTGGTTCTCAGGCACCGCCCACATCATCATAAAGTCTGACGCACATTTTGTTTTTATTTCCATATTAAAAAAAATATAATTCGAAAATAAGTATCCTAAAAAGAACTTAAAACAATGCGATCCTATATAGCATGCAGTTACTTCCCTTTTCATGCGCATTGCTTTACTGCACATCTCATGTTATGGTCATGGCGGTAAACATGGTAAAAAGGAATTTGTATGCTTGTTTATGTAGGGAGGCTCTTTCCCAGGTTGATGGTACACAACTGTTTATTTGGTTACATACTAGTTTGAATAAGCAACAACAAAAAATACAGCCATCGCCCACACTATTATTTCAAAAGTCATTGCCTGAGAACCAATTCTTTTAATTATTTTAAGCCTTCTTGATCTAAGCCTCACTGTTATGAGGAAGGGTCTGTGAATAGGTTCTAATTTGGATATGGCAAAGGATACAAAAGCTGAGTTGTATTCCATTTATTATGTTGGATTTTTATGTTGTTTTGACCAGTACCTGATGAGACTGAATAATGGATGGTTCCAATGATGCAAAGTTATGATAATGATCTCACTTCAATGTTTTGGGGCTTCAGCAACCCATGCTTGCCATAAAAGGCGACTATGCTTGCTGTAAGAGGTGACTAACGGGATCGGGTGGTCAGGCTCACTGGTTGACCTGGTTGATGCACGTCATCCTATCCCACATTGTGTGGATTGATGCTCATGATGTCAATCACTGGATTGTCTGGTCCAAATTCAATTATTTACAGACCCCGTCATATAGCTGGAATATTGCTGAGTGAGGCGTTAAACAACAAACAAACATGATAAAGATGTCTATGTTTCCAGTAAACAAACAAACAAACAAACAATGTCACTTTTGATGGTAATCTAATGAAGAAGTCTGTATAAAGTTCCGTCTGTCTGTTGTTTCAGTGACAGCCAAGAAGCCAGGTTTAGTGCCAGCAGGATGGCTCTTATCACTGTCATCAGGTCATGGCCAGGTCAGAAGGCAATATTGCCACACACCATGCAGAGTGGAACCCTGTTAGTCTGGACCCTGCAGTTTAGGAAACCCTTTTTTGAAATTGTTTGTTTAACTCAAATATTAAACGACATCACTACATACCAATAAATAAAGAAGTTGTTATCCATAAATTGTTTCTACATAGTCATCCGTCAACTTCTAAGTAATGTCTATCAAACAATACATACCAGTAATTTGATAATCCAGAAATTGGTTAAACTGGACAATTTCCTTGGCAACGGTACATCTGGATGAACAGGGTTTCTCTGTATGGAAGTTGTACAGAATTACATTAAGATCTTTAGCATCTATGTGGAGGTGAAAACAAATCTCCTGCTCACTCCAGCATATCTTTAGCATAACTGGTATTAGGGGTGTCACGATACAGGGACCTCACGATACGATACATATCTCGATTTTGAGGTCAAGATACGATACGTATCTCGATACAGCAATAGTGACCTTTTTAACTTTTTAACTTTTTAATTACATATCACATTCACAATTATGTATCCTAATCACTATCAGTAGATTATTTTGTAAAATAATAATACTTAGAAAAGGATCATTCTGTTTATTCAAACAAGTGTCAGACACTTACAAGTTTTCGTATGTGTCAAATTCAGAAAATATGATGACATTTCAATTCGAAAAGAAAAATCAATCAATACGCGAACAAATGGATACCGATTTCAATAAAATTTCGTATCGATATAATTTTACAGGTATGTCATATCGTATCGTGAGAATTATATACCAATGCATCGGTACAATCCGTGAATCGTTGACATCCCTAACTGGTATCATATTTTGAAACTTAGAAATAATGTGTGGGAAATATGAAGGTCAATGTCAGTTCACCAATGTTTAATGATTCGTATTTTCTTTCCTGCAAAGTTTTCAATTCAGTGTTTTTGTTTGCTAAGCCATCATGTTTGTTTGTGTGCAGGTCTGATTCGCCTGTGTCACCCTGAGGGCTCAGGCCTCCAGTCCCTTATCGGTATCTTGTACCTGCCGTTTGCGGAGATCAGGGTAAGACTCAGTTACTGGTATTTACATGTGTGGTGCAGAGTAGTATTGCCAGGTGGAACCAGGAGGAGTTGAACCCAGAAGCAGTCCAGGGTAGAACTTGTCCACAGTTAAATATGCTTGTTGTTAGAGTCGACTATGGGGCCTGGGTTAGAATGTGTCCCCAGCATTCTACTGCTTGCCGCAAGAGGCGACGCCCCTGAAGATCCGGGGTAGAATAGGTCTTCAGGAACCCATGCTTGCCGTAAAAGGCGACTATGCGTGTCGTAAGAGGCGAATAATGGGATCGGGTGGTCAGGCTCGCTGACTTGGTTGATACATGTCATCGTATCCCAATTGCGTAGAAGGGGGCATGGATGGCCCAGTCGTCTAAGGCGCCATGATTCGCTGTGCAGAGTTGCGTCCCTTTGGCACGCCAGAAACCTATGATTGTGGGTTAGAATCCCGGTTCGCCCTGATTATGTTTCTACGTTTGTCAGCACCATACCCGTGCTCGTGGGTTTCACCGAAGTGGTAACTGTCTGAGACCTGCATCACTTCGGGCTTTCCTCCCACATTAAGCTGACACGCCGTGATATAACTGGAATAATGTTAAAAGTGGCGTTAAACCCAACTCACTCACTCACCAATTGCGTGGATCAATGGTCATTGCTATAACAATAAACACACGCAGCCGTTAATTATGGATTGGATGGTTGCTTGAATGATTGTGTGTCGTTATGCCCTGATTTGTTATGACACTGAATGTGTTTTTCAGAAAAGTATCCTGGAGTTGATATTTGACCTGTTTCGGTTGACATTGCCCCAATGGACGGAGGACTTTGCTACTGCTCTTGTCAGTGTTGGTAAGTGATGCTGTACCCAACATGGAACAGTCTTCCATTTGTCTGTCTCTGATTAATCATGTTAGCTCAAAATACTAAAATGAAATGTTGTCCTGATAATCTGGCTATTGCTGTTTTAGGCATGGCCCTACCATTCTTATGAACCCCTGATCATAATATCAAACACTGGGTTGTCTGGTCCAGAGTTGAATATTTCCAGGCTGCTGCTTTGAAAAATAGTAAACAAACAGCTTGATTGTCTTTTGAGAAGATGCTTTAAAAAAAACCTTGCGTAATCTGAACATCTGCTGGTAAAGACCTTTGTATTGACTACACTGTGTCTGAATGAGTGACACTAAATTTTCAGACCCCAGTGAGATGCAAGATGGCTGGAGACTGACGGAAGGCTTCGTGGCGGAAGAGGGTCGGACTGTCCTCCCACACATGGCCAAGACAAGGTAGAGTAGAATGTTTGGTCAAGCACTAGATGTGTTGTGTACGAATGTCTTGTTGCTTACATATACTGCTCAAAAGAAGTTAAGGACCAATGATTCTTTCATATTACTGTAGTTAATCTGCCATGCTGGCAGTAACATGAAAGAATGAAGTGGTCCTTTGCCCCTTTTAAGTTGTTTCCATAGAACATGGATTCAGCAGTTTAAATGTCTCTTTCTCATTAACGTGTGGTTTTCAGACATGAGTCCAGTCATCTTACTTGCAACAATTGGCTGTGCAGGGTTGCATCCCTTAGTTGTGACAGAATCCAATAATCATGGGGTCAGATCCTATATCCATGATTGTGTTTAACGTCTTACAACTGTATCAATTTGGGTTTGTCACGCACTTGGTGGACCCCACCACCTTCTGTGGGATTCAAGCAATAAGTATAAGTCAGGTTAAGGTAAAATCAAGCTCCTCACGGCAATAGCCCGTTCATGGAGCTCTCTATACTTTCGCTGCCACCAGTCAAAACTCCCCACTGTGATAGGTGGCCCCAACCTTGCTTGGAGTTGAACTTGCAATCGAATGATCGCAATCGCAAACATGTTATGTTTACAAATAAGTGACGACTGTCGCAATGCCGAATACACTTACCGCTAATAAATTACTTTCTTTGTTTGTCAATTTAAATTTCTATTTCTTTAAAACTATCATCGTTAATTGATATATTAAGAATGTAAGGGGGAAATTTGGATGATTTTCCATTTGTCTGCAATCTCGATCCAATCTGATTATTAAAACAACAAAGTAAATTCATCTGGAAAACATGGTCAGTCGTAAACCTTTTCAAAATGAAATATGATGGCATTCCCAAAGACATAAACAAAAGTATAAACGTTACTACATATGGGGTTAGAGGGCAAATTACAAATTCATGTAATGGCCGCGCCCACACTGGTGGCAGTGATGTTACCGAGAGTGTAACGAAGGTGTCACGCGCTGGGAAGGAGCTTGAGGTAAAATATGTGTTTTTCGAGATTATAAACATCATTTATACTTATTCGCTATAGCACCTACCCAGCCTCCCCCGAGAACGAGAGAGTGACGAGTATACCTGCTTAGACACATGTTTCCAATGCGCACTCTAGGAGTGTGTTTGGGTGAACTGTTTTTTCTGTTCTCTGGGAACACAGTTCAGGAAGTTTCCACTACCTTTCAGAAATGAGTTAAGGTAAGCAATTGATATGAGTCAGGATAAGTAGAAATATTATTTTACTCCCAAAAATGCATATTCCACATTTTCTCTTTTTGATGTTTCAGACCCAACCTGGTAGAAAACCATCTTGCCTTGATTCTATGTGCTTGGATTCATGCAGGAATCCTGGAGGTAGGGATCAGTTGACTCTAGCTGATAGCTCACGGGTTCCGAATTCTATATACACCGATTCACAAAATGGCACTTTGTTGTTGATGGCAACATATAACGATTATTATGAGATTGAAAAAAGACAAGAGAAACAGCTTCCCACATTACGAGAGTGGATGACTGGTTTGTTTGTCTGCGGTCATATACGGTAATGTGAACAATTTATTGCTTACAACCGCCATTGTGGTCTAGTGGATAGAGCGTCTGTACTGAGTGTTGAAGTCAGTGGTTTGATCCCCGGCCGCCATATCAAAAGATGTTAAAAGATGGTACTTGTTTTCCCTCCTGGTCCTCGGCATTAAGGGGATAAGACATGGACTGGTTGGCTTGGAGTCTGTACACTGTGTCTGTGTGGGATATCCATGTTAAACTGCAGCATGGTATCTCAGTGTGCAAGCATTATGAAACCAGTATTAGTCCAAACTAACAGGGGCGGTCGGGTAGCCTAGTGGTCGGGTAAAGCGTTCGCTCGTCACGCCGAAGACCCGGGTTCGATTCCCAACAAGGGTACAATGTGTGAAGCCCATTTCTGGTGTCCCCGCCGTGATATTGCTGCAATATTGCTAAAAGCGGCGTAAAACCTCACTCACTCACTCACTCACTCACTCACTCACTCACTCACTCACTCACTCACTCACTAGCTCACTCACTCACTAGCTCACTCACTCACTAGCTCACTCACTCACTCACTGCAAACTAACAGCCACATGCACAATACTATGCAAAAATCTTCAACGCAACATTAAACCCCATTCACCGCAATGCTTACATGAAACAAAATGGAATAAGATAAGTTTAATGAGTATACAGATCATATATAACTGATACAAATTCTGGTACCATGACGAAGTTTGAAGTTGTTGCTGAAGATGTGATTGTGGTATCAGGCCCTGGTCGAGGTGATCTGCAGCAGCGAAGGCCCTCTCTTCGTACGAGGAGTGATTCTAGTCGGAGAACTCTTACATATGGTGAGTACAGCTTGCTTTAATGCAGCGTTAGAAATTGGCACTAGTCCTGTAGTCCTTGCCAAACTGCCCAATAGTTAAGGTATCATAAGGACCAGTAGAAATTTGCCATTTTTAAGGGTTTTGCTGTATGTTATCATTATAAGGACTAGTAGACAAAAACAATTAGCTTCTATCACTGTTAACGAGTACTGTTCAACTACTTAGTGTAACACCAGGGACAGGCTGTGCACCAACGACATTACGCCATGTTTTCAGACGAAGCAAGGTTTTGTCTCTGATTCACATAGGGCAGAAAACGTTATTGGAGACATAGCAGCGTGTGGTATGTCAGGGCAACAATTCTTGACCGTGATCGGTATGTGAGCAGTAGTGTCATGGTGCAGAAAACGTTATTGGAGACATAGCGGCGTGTGGTATGTCAGGGCAACAATTCTTGACCGTGATTGGTATGTGAGCAGTAGTGTCATGGTGTTGGGCAGTATCGAACATGACAGGCGAACTGGTTTGGTTATTGTGAACTGACATTTGACTGACCCGCTAGGTACCCTATAGAGCATCTGTGGGATGTTCTTGGGCGAAGTAGTGGTTGAAGCGTTCGCTCGTCAAGCCGAAGACCCAGGTTCGATTCCCCACATGGGTACAATGTGTGAAGCCCATTTCTGGTGTCCCCCGCCGTGATCTTGCTGGAATATTGCTAAAAGCGGCGTAAAACCATACTCACTCACTCACTCGGAGATATCACGCGAAGAGTGTACACCAGAGACCCACCACCTGCCAAAGTGGACCAGCTTGGGGTAGCTCTTCAGGCAGAATGGCTGGCAATACCAAGGGCAACCATACACTATTTAGTCAACAGTACCATCAAGGTGTCACGCATGTATTGCCCAGCATGATGGACACACCAGATATTGATCTTTACGCCTGAAATTAATTTTACAGATATTTATCCTCTTTACACTTTTACTATCATTTCATCAGTTTCCTTAGTGTTTTTTTAACCAAAAGACGTTAAAAGATGGTACTTGTTGTTACCCTGTCTGGCACTCGGCATTAAGGAGCTAAAACAAGGACTGGTCGGCTCGGAGTCAGTATACTGTGTCTGAGTAGGGTATTTATGTTGAACTGTGGCATGGTATCTCAGTGAGCTAGCACTATGAATCGGCATCAGTCCGGACTTGTACAAGCAGCCACACAAACACACACACGTACATGCACGTCGCTATAAAAGGGCAATAATCTTGGATGCGACTTTTAACCCCATTTCACCTCACCCTTATATTTTATGGTAGTATTTTTTTTATTTGTGTGTTCAAAGACAAGATTTGCTTAAAATGAAATCCTTTTTGGCTTTATGTGGTGTCTGTACCTGTAGGCTTGTTGTATGTTCTATCGCAGCAGCTTTGAAATCCCTACATTGGCTACCAGTTAAGGCAGGGATAGACTACAAATTCTATTGCTTAGCCTATCAGTGCATACATGGAGCAGCCAGCATCTGTCCCAACATCAGCCCCAACATCAGCCCCAACATCAGCCCCAACATCAGCCCCAACATCTGTCCCAACATCAGCCCCAACATCAGCCCCAACATCAGCCCCAACATCAGCCCCAACATCTGTCCCAACATCAGCCCCAACATCAGCCCCAACATCTGTCCCAACATCTGTCCCAACATCAGCCCCAACATCAGCCCCCAACATCAGCCCCAACATCTGTCCCAACATCAGCCCCAACATCAGCCCCAACATCAGCCCTAACATCAGCCCCAACATCTGTCCCAACATCAGCCCCAACATCTGCCCCAACATCACCCCCCAACATCAGCCCCCAACACCAGCCCCAACATCAGCCCCAACATCTGTCCCAACATCAGCCCCAACATCAGCCCCAACATCAGCCCCAACATCAGCCCCAACATCTGTCCCAACATCAGCCCCAACATCAGCCCCAACATCAGCCCCAACATCAGCCCCAACATCTGTCCCAACATCAGCCCCAACATCAGCCCCAACATCAGCCCAAAAGATGCCTCAGATCCAGCAACATGCAACTGTTGGATTTCCCAAAGCAGAAATATGGCTACGCATCTTTTGAAGTGGTGTCTGACAGTAAATGAAATGAAATTCTTGAATCCATGAAAGATATGAAATATCTGTCCTTATTAAAATCACAGCTCAAAACATATCTGTTTGTTAAAAGTTACCTCTATACCAGGGGCTGTTAAGAAATGCCAAACAAGCCTCATGCTGTTAGTTATGGTGCTTAACCATATCAGTACCCAATCTCATTAAAATCAGATCTTAGTTCTCGCTATTGCTTAACAAAGATCTGAGGACATCCCATTACTGGTCACGTCAGACCGACCTTTCGCGAACTTTGACCGACCAATGGAATGACTGACAAGAAGTCGTCATTAGTCAGTCAGAAGGCAGCTTTCTCGTGCTTTACGGCACTAATTTCAAATTGGCGACTACGCTTCGAAACATATTTTGACAAATTCTCGATTAAAAATGTGAATCCTGAACAAAGGAACATTCTGGAATGGCTTATATATGGTCTAGATTGTATGGATTCAGTCATTTAGCCCGTAATAATCGTTTGGAATACCCCGTGTTTTCGACGTTGCATGATTAGAAATCACATTCCGACTGTCACTTTCATGATCTGGTAAGGGAAGCTCTGATTGGTCGGACGAAAGGTCGTTCTGACGTGACCCCTAATGGGATGTCCTCAGATCTTTGTTTTGCGGTAGCGAGAACTAAGATCTGATTTTAATGAGATTGTGTCAGTACCATGTACTCCACAAACTGACCAGCAACATTATTAATACCATTCTTATTGTAAACGCTTTGAGCATACACTACGTAGTGGATAAAGCGCTATATATATGTTCCTATTGTTGTTGAATAATCCTATTATAACTTACTGTTCAGGCAAACCAGCTACTTCCCACCGAGTGCAGTAACCACAGCCAGTGTCTGCCAACTCTTATTTCCATGGCATCCTCCTTTGATGTTCCCCTCGCAAAAAGACAGTAAGTAACTATGACAAGCTGGAGTTAGATAACATTGCTTTACACCACATCAGCAAGTTGTAGCTAAAAGCAGCCAAACCAAACCATAAGTGGATCGGGTGGTCAGGCTCGGTGACTTGGTTCATGCATGTCATCTTCTTCCAATTGCATGGGGTGGTCAGGTAGCCAAGTGGTTAAAGCGTTCGCTGGTCACGCCGAAGACCCGGGTTTGATTCCCGACATGGGTACAATGTGTGAAGCCCATTTCTGGTGTCCCCTGCCATGACATTGCTGGAATATTGCTAAAAGCGGCTTAACACCATATTCACTCACTCACACACTTTTCCAATTGCATAGATGGATATTTTTGATGTCAATCATTGGCTTATCTCGTCCAAACTATTATTTGTAGTATAGCTGTACTATTGCTGAATGTGGCATTAAACAACATGCATCTTATAGTCTTTTTAATTATTTATTTGATACTAAAATTTACTTAGAGCTAGAATCCTATTGTCATGAGTTCGAATCCCCGAATTACGCTGACATGTTGTGATATGACTGTAATACTATTCAAGTTTTAAACCCAACTCACTCTCTCATGAAGTGTAGTCAGTTTGCATTACTTGTTGGTTAATATCCATTGGATGTAGGGATGCGTGCTCTCCGTCTGTCCGTCATTTCGTTTCCAGAGCAGAACTCGAAAACCATGTGAGACATCTTAACCAAACTTGGCATGAAGATAGGTCAAGTGGTGAACTGGTGCCTATTGATAGTTTAAAATTTTGAATTTATTTTCCATGGCAGCGACTTTGACTTAGACTGAATGGACAGGACTGTGTGCAAAAACGCAACAGTAAAACACTGCGCCAAAACGCACCCAAACGAACATGAAATGGACATGAAAATGTTGTGTTTCACATGCAAAAGGCACTTAACATGTTACGCCACTGTGGTTTTGGGTTTATAGTTGTGTAAAAGTTGTCAGGTGGCAACATGTGCTTATAGTTTCGTCCCAATACGAGAATTTAGAGTTCACATATAAAAGTGAACTTATCCACAATTAGTGGAGAAACATTGTTCATTATAGAAAATAGTGTAATTGATCAGAGACATTAAAAGTTTGAACTTGTTTCAATAGTTTATTGTTTTGAATTTAGGGGTTATATTCACTCAACCGAAAATGGTGGCAGTGCTCGTTTCCGGAGCATATCTTGAAAACCGTACAGTGTTTGGATGGACATGTCATATTGGCGGGGGATATAAATATTACATGCTTGTTTTCATTTCAGTCAGGCTAGTCTAGCTGTCACCTATCTAAGTCACTTCCACGCCATGAAGAAACGGGGGGCCGTCCCATGCAGTCTCTACCTAGATCAACTCCTGCAGCATGCGGGCAAGTTTGTGGAGTATATAGGACGGCACTGGCATCTACGACGGGACAAACTAGCTGAGACATACTTCACCAAGGTACTCTCACAACACTGTCCTGTCAACACCAGTTTTATTTTGGGTTCTTGAAATAAATTCATAAACACAAATTCAGTTTCTCTGTTTCCATTGTTTCTTGTACCCAGTATATTTCATGTAGAAATCCTATTAGTTTCTCCTGTTGCTATTTAACAATTGTTTGTAAATTAGAGCACATGGTACACACACGCACAGTCACATAATGTGCTGTATGGTTGGTTGGTTGGTTGGTTTGTTGTTTAACGCCGCACTCAGCAATATTCCAGCTATATGACAGCAGTCAAGTAATCGAGTCTGGAGTACAATCCAGTGATTAATATCATGAGCATCGATCCACGCAATTGGTGATGACATGTATCAGTGAGCCTGACCACCCGATCCTGTTAGTCGCCTTTTACAGCAAGCATAGTCGCCGTTAATGGCAAGCATAGTCGCCTTTTACGGCAAGCGCAGTCGCCTTTTGCTGGCAAGCGCAGTCGCCTTTTGCGGCAAGCGCAGTCGCCTTTTACGCCAAGCATAGTCCCCTTTTAGGAAAGCATAGTCGCCTGTTACGGCAAGCACGGGTTGCTGAAGAGCTGTATGATTATCAGGATATACGTCATGTGGTCAGCTGATTGCTTTCTTCTGAATTGTACCTGTGATGTATATATTGCAGTACCTGTCTGAGGATCTGCTGTCTCAAGCGGTCAAGGACTCGCAGGTTCTCATCACCAAGGAGAATACCAACTGGGACTGGGATCTTATATGTGCTCTGCTCAAGGTCAGTTAGCTCCCTTTGAATTTCAGCCATTTTCTGCATCATCATTATGGCGTCATTTTTGAATGATTTGTATTTCATTTCTGAAATATGATTATTACGTCTTTTACTGAGGTAATTCAAGAAAGAAAACCAGAGAATGCAAAGTATGTTAGCTACATTCATCATATATAGTTTTTGGGTGGTTGTCTTGAAGGCTAGGGTTGAGTTTATGGGTTTGTGTTAAACAAGTTGCATGGTGTATTCTACAAGATTGCTGAAAGCTGTGTCAAACCCTCTCACCCCAGTTCCTTGTCTTTCCCTGATTGTTCCGAGTGGAAGTCCTCAATATTCCATGCTAATCTATCCCCATAATTGTCTCACTATAGTGAATCAAGGGCGGAATGGGTTCTCAGTGCCCAATGCTTGTCTCACTGTGGTACTTCAAGGGAGGAATAGGTTCTCAGTGTCCAATGCTTGTCTCACTGGGGAGATCAAGGGCGGAATAGGTCCTCAGTGCCCAATGCTTGTCTCACTGTGGTGAATCAAGGGCGGAATAGGTTCTCAGTGTCCCATGCTTGTCTCACTGTGGTGAATCAAGGGGGGAATAGGTTCTCAGTGCCCAATGCTTGTCTCACTATGGTGAATCAAGGGCGGAGTAGGTCCTCAGTGCCCAATGCTTGTCTCACTGTGGTGAATCAAGGGCGGAATAGGTCCTCAGTGCCCAATGCTTGTCTCACTGTGGTGAATCAAGGGCGGAATAGGTTCTCAGTACCCCATGCTTGTCTCACTGTGGTGAATCAAGGGCGGAATAGGTCATCAGTACCCCATGCTTGTCTCACTGTGGTGAATCAAGGGAGGAATAGATTCTTAGTGTCCAATGCTTGTCTCACTGGGGAGATCAAGGGCGGAATAGGTCCTCAGTGCCCAATGCTTGTCTCACTGTGGTGAATCAAGGGAGGAATAGATTCTTAGTGTCCAATGCTTGTCTCACTGGGGAGATCAAGGGCGGAATAGGTCCTCAGTGCCCAATGCTTGTCTCACTGTGGTGAATCAAGGGCGGAATAGGTCCTCAGTGCCCAATGCTTGTCTCACTGTGGTGAATCAAGGGCGGAATAGGTCATCAGTACCCCATGCTTGTCTCACTGTGGTGAATCAAGGGAGGAATAGATTCTCAGTGCCCAATGCTTGTCTCACTGTGGTGAATCAAGGGAGGAATAGATTCTTAGTGCCCAATGCTTGTCTCACTGTGGCGATTTAGAGATGGAATAGGTTCTCAGTGCCCAATGCTTGTCTCACTGTGGTGATTTAGAGATGGAATAGATTCTCAGTGCCCAATGCTTGTCTCACTGTGGTGATTTAGAGATGGAATAGGTTCTCAGTACCCCATGCTTGTCTCACTGTGGTGAAACAAGGGCAGAATAGGTCCTCAGTGCCCAATGCTTGTCTCACTGTGGTGATTTAGAGATGGAATAGGTTCTCAGTGACTAATGTCTGTCTCACTGTGGTGAATCAAGGGAGAAATAGGTTCTCAGTGCCCAATGCTTGTCTCACTGTGGTGAATCAACGGCGGATAAGGTCCTCAGTGCCCAATGCTTGTCTCACTGTGGTGAATCAAGGGCGGAATAGGTCATCAGTACCCCATCTTGTCTCACTGTGGTGAATCAAGGGAGGAATAGATTCTCAGTGCCCAATGCTTGTCTCACTGTGGTGATTTAGAGATGGAATAGATTCTCAGTGCCCAATGCTTGTCTCACTGTGGTGATTTAGAGATGGATTAGGTTCTCAGTGCCCAATGCTTGTCTCACTGTGGTGATTTAGAGATGGAATAGGTTCTCAGTGCCCAATGCTTGTCTCACTGTGGTGATTTAGAGATGGATTAGGTTCTCAGTGACTAATGTCTGTCTCACTGTGTCGATGCCATGACATATAACTATAGTAATTGGAAATAATCCGTTGGTCCTCATCTACTTTTGAGTAGTATACTAAAACTTGATTCCCCAGTGCAACATTAATTAAGGGCAGTAATCTTTGTATGTAGGCCATATCAACTAACTAGTTGGTTTCTCTTCCACGACATGGTACCATATGACAGAGAATGGGCTTCACACATTATGGCTGTTTGAAAACAGGAACCTGCATGTTTTAGTCTGAGGAGAGAACAGATAGGTTTCCAGACTGCCCCTTTTTGTTGAGGCTGGTATCATGTGAAGCAAGTCATTCTCTTGTGTCTGCTAGAATTACAGCTTCAGATCTAAAGTAGTCCAACAGATCTTATAATATACTGTAGTGTGTGACGTGTATTTGAGTGACGTGTTTCTGGCAATCGCTGTTTCAGTGGCCAGATGAAAAGCTGCGGAAATTAGATGACCAAATTCATATCAGGTAAGTTGATTTGTTTCGTCATATTATGTTCAGATTATTCATGTTAGGGAATGTTATTCAAGAATTTTATACAATATGTTTTCCCATCCTTCACCTGCTAAATGTTGTGTTACAGATTTGTCAAACGTCTCGTGTTCTTCTACAAACCGACCAATGATATGTTCTCTCGGATGGAGTTAACCAATGAAAATGCTCGTAAACTATGTGATATTGGATGTCATCTGATAGACTTCCTCATAAAGTCAAATCAGGTGAGTAAGATATGTACAGAAATGTCCATGTTATCTTGCATGTATCGTATGGATGTGTATGAATATATCATGTAGCGCATTAGGAAGTAGAAAGATGGAAGATAATAGACCTGAACTTGATCAATGTGTCGTAATTGTCTAGACCTTTCTTATTCCTTGGTTTTGGGTGGTCAAGTGGTCTACGACTTTTCCATGAATGTTGTGTCTTACCAGGATCGGATGTTTTTAAGAAATAAACAAAGAGTGGGAGTTGTCTTTTGTACAATAAAACACTGCAGGGAGAATAAACCATGAGGGGGTGCAGCTTGTATTCAATTGACATATAAGGTGGCAGTTTCCTTCAGGATTATAAGCATGATTAGTATGGATTCTACCATGAATTACAAAATACTTGATTTTGATTGGCCAATCAGAGGTATCAAATCATTAAACCCCCTCTGATCGAAACAGCCGATTTGATGGCAGCCGCACCGCAAAAGCTAATATGTTTAGAATAGTACTTCTGTTACAGTCATTGTTGGTAGGCATATTTTGTTTAAGCATGTTGTCAATGATTCTGTAAGTTCTGATCAACAAAAAACTGGACACAATTCATGCTGCTTCACTCAATACATTTGCTTACACCAAAGAGTGGGCTTTATTTAGTCAGGGTAGCATTCGGTTCCAAATTCAATTTAGCGCGGTTAAATCTACCAATAGCCAAGCTCTTCATTGAAAATACAATTTGCTCTGAATTAAATGTTGAGAAAGCTATGACAGTGCATGTTCCTACCATGTATCATGTATTTTCAGGATGAAGCTCAGAAACACATTACAGATTGGCTTACTGACATTGCCCAGTGTCTTGGTGAGGTGAGTCAAGGAGAGTAGATCCGGGGTAGAATTGGTCTTCAGCAATCCATGCTTGCCTTAAAAGGCGACTAACGGGGTCAGGTGATCAGGCTCGCTGACTTGGTTGATGCGTGTCATGGTATCCCAATTGCGTGTATTGATGATCATTGATGAATTGTCTGGTCCAGACTCGAATATTTTTCAGGCACCTTCATATAGCTGGAATATTGCTGAGTGCGGCGTGAACAACAAACAAACAAACAAACAAACAAACAAACAAACAAATCAAGGAGATAAAACTTTCAGTAAAATATTCACCGTATAGCAACAGGAACATGTATATGTCGGACACATTCGGCAACAGGAACATGTATATGTCGGACACATTCGGCAACAGGAACATGTATATGTCGGACACATTCGGCAACAGGAACATGTATATGTCGGACACATTCGGCAACAGGAACATGTATATGTCGGACACATTTAGCAACAGGAACATGTATATGTCGGACACATTTAGCAACAGGATCGTGTATTTGTCAGACACATTTAGCAACAGGATCGTGTATATGTCAGACACATTCAGCAACAGGAACATGTATATGTCGGACACATTTAGCAACAGGATCGTGTATTTGTCAGACACATTTAGAAAAAAGGATCGTGTATATGTCAGACACATTCAGCAACAGGAACATGTATATGTCGGACACATTCGGCAACAGGAACATGTATATGTCGGACACATTCGGCAACAGGAACATGTATATGTCGGACACATTCGGCAACAGGAACATGTATATGTCGGACACATTCGGCAACAGGAACATGTATATGTCGGACACATTTAGCAACAGGAACATGTATATGTCGGACACATTTAGCAACAGGATCGTGTATTTGTCAGACACATTTAGCAACAGGATCGTGTATATGTCAGACACATTCAGCAACAGGAACATGTATATGTCGGACACATTTAGCAACAGGATCGTGTATTTGTCAGACACATTTAGCAACAGGATCGTGTATATGTCAGACACATTTAGCAACAGGAACATGTATATGTCGGACACATTTAGCAACAGGATCGTGTATTTGTCAGACACATTTAGCAACAGGATCGTGTATATGTCAGACACATTTAGCAACAGGAACATGTATATGTCGGACACATTTAGCAACAGGAACGTGTATATGTCAGGCACATTCAGCAACAGGAACATGTATATGTCGGACACATTTAGCAACAGGAACGTGTATATGTCGGACACATTTAGCAACAGGAACATGTATATGTCAGACACATTTAGCAACAGGAACATGTATATGTCAGACACATTTAGCAACAGGAACATGTATATGTCAGACACATTTAGCAACAGGAACGTGTATATGTCGGACACATTTAGCAACAGGAACATGTATATGTCAGACACATTTAGCAACAGGAACATGTATAAGTCGGACACATTCAGCAACAGGAACGTGTATATGTCGGACACATTTAGCAACAGGAACGTGTGTATGTCGGACACATTTAGCAACGGGAACATGTATATGTCAGACACATTTAGCAACAGGAACATGTATAAGTCGGACACATTTAGCAACAGGAACGTGTGTATGTCGGACACATTTAGCAACAGGAACATGTATATGTCGGACACATTTAGCAACAGGAACGTGTATATGTCAGACACATTCAGCAACAGGAACATGTATAAGTTGGACACATTTAGCAACAGGAACATGTATAAGTCGGACACATTTAGCAACAGGAACGTTTGTATGTCGGACACATTTAGCAACAGGAACATGTATATGTCGGACACATTTAGCAACAGGAACGTGTATATGTCAGACACATTTAGCAACAGGAACATGTATAAGTTGGACACATTTAGCAACAGGAACGTGTATAAGTCGGACACATTTAGCAACAGGAACGTGTGTATGTCGGACACATTTAGCAACAGGAACGTGTATATGTCGGACACATTTAGCAACAGGAACATGTATATGTCAGACACATTTAGCAACAGGAACGTGTATAAGTCGGACACATTTAGCAACAGGAACATGTATATGTCGGACACATTTAGCAACAGGAACGTGTGTATGTCGGACACATTTAGCAACGGGAACATGTATATGTCAGACACATTTAGCAACAGGAACATGTATATGTCGGACACATTTAGCAACAGGAACGTGTGTATGTCGGACACATTTAGCAACAGGAACATGTATATGTCGGACACATTTAGCAACAGGAACGTGTATATGTCAGACACATTCAGCAACAGGAACGTGTATAAGTTGGACACATTTAGCAACAGGAACGTGTATATGTCGGACACATTTAGCAACAGGAACGTTTGTATGTCGGACACATTTAGCAACAGGAACGTGTATATGTCGGACACATTTAGCAACAGGAACGTGTATATGTCGGACACATTTAGCAACAGGAACGTGTGTATGTCGGACACATTTAGCAACAGGAACATGTATAAGTTGGACACATTTAGCAACAGGTACGTGTATAAGTCGGACACATTTAGCAACAGGAACGTGTATAAGTCGGACACATTTAGCAACAGGAACGTGTATATGTCGGACAAAAGACATTGATGGAAGTTAACCTAGAATTATGCTGACCCAAATTGTGATAACATTTAATAACACTGTAAAAAATGTTGAAATATCTATTAGCGCTCAGGATACCTATACCATTCCACAAAGGAGTGCTTGTGCTGATGTCTCTCACTGTAGATGTAAGTTCCAGTACATCTGCAGCCCATGAACCACTGAAGTCCTCCACTTTGTTGCAGCTGTCCACTCAACACTCCGCCCCTGAAGCCGTCCTCTCCCTCACCAGTATTCACTCCACCCTGAGTCAGTATTACTTCCTGTTCGTGGGCCGCTTCTCCCTCACACCCAGAGGGGACAGGTACCTGGAGAAAACAGGGGTCTATCAGAAGTAAGTACCCCCATCCGGCCTTGTTCTTCATGTCAATCCCTGTGGGAATTCTGGGTTGGAATTGGTCCCCATCAACCTTCACTGGGGACTTAATGGATCCGGTGGTCAGAATCTGTACTTGGTTGATAGCATGCCATCATAGAAAGAGAAAACTATTGATTACATTTGAAATATTTCTTCAGGTCAACTTCTTTTTATTGTAGAATGTTGACATCATTAACTCCTTAAGCCTTCAATGTTTCAAAAACTTGCATGTCATACGATCCCACGAAGGAGGAATGATAGACTGTTGCTTGGTTCATTGTGTGGTAACATAATAATAATAATAATAATAATGATAATAATGATAATAATAGATCATTTATATTGCACATATTTCCACACATGGGCATGCTCACAGCACTATTATTACCCAGGTCACTGGATCAGTGTGCACTCAATAATCATTCTCTGCTCCCTTGGGAGTATACAGCCCAAGCTGCCTGTTAGGTGCTAGAAGGTTAACAACCACATTTCCATCACATCCTATCGGGTACCCATTAACTGCTGTTGTTTATCAAAGACAAGGATTGTTGCTCAGGAGGTTATTCACTCCAGACTTGATTGTTCACAGACTGTTGTGATATTGCTGACTGGTCCAAAACAACATTTCCCCTCTCGTTCAGTGCCTTGTGTATTTACTGCAACTTGTCTCCCCCTGACAGTCTGCTGGAGCTGGTCAGTCCCCCTACACAAGAGCTGTACATCAAACTGACCATCTCGAGTCTCAACTACTCCCGAGACGGCACCGCAAGGACCATCCTGTCTAAAGCTCTCACGTCGGCTGTAGAGGTAAGCATTGATGCCACATCTTCACCCACATAAGTGGCTGTGTCATCTTAGGCCCTGCAAGTGCTGTGCAGTTTGTGCCTATGTTTCTCAGTTACCTATCACTGTGATGTGTGCCTAAGCTATCCTGTAATCTATCACTGTGACATGTGCCTAAGCTATCCAGTAATCTATCACTGTGACGTGCCTAAGCTATCCAGTAATCTATCACTGTGACATGTGGCTAAGCTATCCTGTAATCTATCACTGTGACATGTGCCTAAGCTATCCAGTAATCTATCACTGTGATGTGTATCTATGCAGTCTCAATAAAGTCAGATCCTAGTTCATGCTACCGCAATCTTTCATCTGACCAATCAGATCGTTGCTTACCACATCAGAAAGATGACAGCCTGAATGTGTTGAAATCATACACCCTCGGGAAGGTTACCAAGGGGTATTCTGAACCACATTTACGGACTCTATGACTGATTCTGTCTCTTGCTAAAATGGGATTACTATTTGTAATGGAAGAGACCTTCTATAGCATGTGGGAAGTACTGCCATACAGTCTTGGCCACCTATAAGACATTCCAGAATGTTCTTTTGTCCAGTTTTCAAATTTTCAAATCGACCTCATGTTGGTCATTTCATTGGTCAGACAAAGTTCGCGAAAGGTCGTTCTGGATGTCCTCAGATCTTTGTGTTGCTGTAGTGATCACTAAGATCAGATGTGAATGAGATTGTGTGCCTATGTTTCCAGGGTGCCAGAGTGTATGCTACAAAGCTGCTGCGGGTGTTGTTGAGGACGGGGGTCGCAGGATTTAGTTCGTGGGGCATTGAACTTCTCATCAGTCAGTTGTATGACCAGTGTCAGGCTGTTGCTATGGCAGCGATCAACATCCTTGATGAAGCCTGTGATGTTCAGGTAAGGCTTTTTTACCATTTTACGTTCATCAAGTTTTTATTCCTAAGTTTTAAGTTTTAAGTGAAGTCGAAATATGAACCACTGGTTTGTCTAGCCCATACTCGATTACTTTCATGCAGCTGTGATAGCTGAAATATTGCTGAAGAAAAATAAATACCGTATTCGGCGTAATAAGCACCCAGGGCGCTCTCAAACTTAGAAATAGGGGGCTCTTATTAGAATTATATTTTGGTGAAAAAAACAGAGTTGAAAGATAAATTTCGTGGTTTATGCTGACAGCCTGAAATGTTTATGTACGACAGATATATTTTTCCAGAATTTAATTGTCCTTAATTAAGGGTGCATATATCACACGAGTGCGTATTGTATGCGAATAAATAAGTCTTGTGTACATTAATCAATCGGAATGGGTGCTAATTAGGATTGTTCACTAGGCAATAAATTCGCAATGGGCGCATATTAGAGCGGGGTGCTTATTACGTCGAATACGTTAATAACTGTGCTCATGTGTTACAAGACAGGTATCAGTTTGGGCTGTTCTTCCACATTAGAAAGTTTGATCTATTTTCCAACAATGGGACCATGAAGATCCGGGGTAGAATAGGTCTTCAGCAACCAACACTTGCCGTAAAAGGCGACTAAGCTTGTCATAAGAAGCGACTAATGGGATTGGGTGGTCAGGCTCACTGACTTGATTGATACATGTCACCATTTCTCAATTGCGTAGATCGATGCTCATGATGTCAATCACTGGATTGTCTGGTCCAGACTTGATTATTTACAGACTGCCATCATGTAGCTGGAATATTGCTGAGTGCGGCCTTAAACAACAAACAAACAAACTAATAACGCAATAATGAAGATGGCATTGTTTCCCATATATAGTGCGGCGTTAAAACAACAAATCTAACAATGGGATCTGTTCCAGGCTAACCTGGACTCCCTCGTGAAGTTGCGTCCTACATTACTCCACCTTGGCCATCGTGGCGTCATGGTCCTGTGTCGTTTTCTCTCCACTCATAAGGGCTTCAAGGCCCTCATGGATGCCAACTTCGTCACCAATGAATTACAGAGGTGGGAGAAGGTGAGTAGAAATATCCTGCAGTTTATGCCACTAGTCCGAAGCTCCGGTCTTGTTTAATTCTGTTTGCTCCAGTAAGCTCATCTAATAATAGTTCACATAACAATGAGCCTGTTGTTTCTGCCAGACGTACAACCTGCGGTATGTCAAGATAGTGGAGGAGCAGTTGAATGAGGCGCTGACCACGTACGAGAAGACGTACCAGGGGCAGTTCACTCGGCGGTCAATACAGAAGTGAGTACACCACACACAGCTGCAGGGCGGGGCGGGGAGGGCTTGGCGGGGCAGGGCAGTTCACTCGGTGATCAACACAGAAGTGAGTACACCACACACATCAGCAGGGTGGGGCAGGGCAGGGCGGGGCTTGGCGGGGCAGTTCACTCGGCGGTCAATACAGAAGTGAGTGCACCACACACAGCAGCAGGGCAGTGCAGGACAGTGCGGGGCGGGGCAGTTCACTCGGCGGTCAATACAGAAGTGAGTACACTACACACAGCAGCAGGGCAGTGCAGGACAGTGCGGGGCGGGGCAGTTCACTCAGCAGTCAATACAGAAGTGAGTACACCACACACAGCTGCAGGGCGGTGCAGGACAGTGCGGGGCGGGGCAGTTCACTCAGCAGTCAATACAGAAGTGAGTACACCACACACAGCAGCAGGGCGGGGCAGGGCGGGGCTTGGCGGGGCAGGGCAGTTCACTCAGCGGTCAATACAGAAGTGAGTACACCACACACATCAGCAGGGCGGGGCAGGACAGGGCGGGGTGGGGCTTGGCAGGGCAGTTCACCCGGCGGTCAATACAGAAGTGAGCACACCACACACAGACAGCAGGCTGGGGCAAGACAGGAAGGGGTGGGGCGGGGCAGTTCACTTGGCGGTCAATACAGAAGTGAGTACACCACACACAGACAGCAGGGCGGGGCAAGACAGGGAGGGGTGGGGCGGAGCAGTTCACTAGGCGGTCAATACAGAAGTGAGTACACCACACACAGACAGCAGGGCGGGGCAAGACAGGGAGGGGTGGGGCAGTTCACTTGGCGGTCAATACAGTACTCACAGACAGCAGGGCGGGGCAAGGTGGCCTTGTGGTTCAAGCCTTAGCTTGTCATGGTTAGGACTTGGTTTAATTCCAAGAGTGTGAAGCCCACATCAGGCTTGTCATGATATTGCAAGGATATTGCTAAATGTATTGCTAAGTAGGTGCCTACTCATTTATTCTGTTTGAGGAAATATCTTAAAACTAAGAAATTAAGTATTCATGCCTTACCTTGCACTTTGGAAGCTTTTATCATCCAAATGGCAGGATTTAGTTTTAATATTGGATGTATTGTATAGGAGTTGCGTTTCTATTTGACTTCACTGATTGTATGACATTGTTTTTCATCATTATTCAGGGGGCCACGATTCGCTGTGCAGAGTTGCGTCCCTTGGGCACGCCAGAAACCTATGATTGTGGGTTCGAATCCCGCTTCTCCCAGATTATGTTTCTAGGTTTGTCAGCACCATACCCTTGCTTGTGGGTTTCACCGAAATGGTAAATGTCTGAGACCTGCATCACTTCAGGCTTTCCTCCAAAATTAAGCTGACACGCCGTGATATAACTGGAATACTGTTAAAAGCGGCGTTAAACCCAACTAACTCACTCACCCACTCGCTGATCATTGTTCATGCTGTCAACTCGGTTGCCTGGCCGTGATTCATTTATTTGCATGCTAACATGTTAAACATGGAATAGCACTGACTGCAGTGTGAAACTACATTCCCTCACTAGCTCACTGACTGTTGCAGACGTCCGAAGAAGGATGTGTTCCTTCCTGTCCACCTGTATGGCCAACTGTGTCAGCATGACGACGGCCTTGACCTGCTGAGGAAAGAGGTCAGTGATCATGTCGCTACTGATAAACTGGGATGTGAAATTTTTGTTTCACATACATCGTGACTTTTGTTTCTGTGTCGAGTGAAAATACAGTCAGGTGCCATCAGTATTAGAAATGAGCATTGGTCATCTCTTCCCAACCAAACCTTTTAATCATGGAGGTATCTGTAGGTCATGTAGAAATTCATCAAATTTGTAAGGTTATCGTTTTTGTATCAGGACCTGCGTCACTTTAGACTACTGAAATACCAATCAAAGCAGGAATAAACCCAACTTTACATCACCATTATAGTCCTGTGATACCTGAAATAATAATAATAATGATAATGAAAATAATAGTCTTCACATTCTCTGAAAAGTTCTGGGTGGGTTTGACTAGGCAGCACTCCCATTCGCTGTCTGGGCTGCCTGTAGACTGGGAAAGGGCCCTCAGCTGATGATGAGCCTAACCAGCCTGACTGTGCTAGGATGACTTAAACCCTCTTTGCTGCATTTTTTTAATATAAATAATAATAATAATAATAAAAATAATAATAAAACCATTTATATGGCGCCATACCTCCACAACATGAAAGGGGAATGCTCAAGGCACATACAGAAAGTTGTATGTACAGGTGTATGTACAGGGCTATGTACAGGGCTATGTACAGGTGTATGTACAGGTGTATGTACAGGGCTATGTACAGGTGTATGTGTAAGGTTACGTGCTGTGTTGCAGGAGTGTGTGAAGGAATACATCCAACACATCCACAGTCTGGAACTCCTCAACGACCAAGACGTCCTCAAGTTGAAGATTGCTCTTTGGGCAGTGGTTAGTGTTCCTGGCAATCTATGTGTAGTTGCTCTTTATTAACCCTTGGTCTTCAACCATAATTCCAGGGAAGAATAGGTCCCCAGTGCCCCATGCTTGTCTCCCTGTTGTAATTCCAGAGAAGAATAGGTCCCCAGTGCCCATGCTTGTCTCCCTGTTGTAATTCCAGGGAAGAATAGGTCCCCAGTGCCCCATGCTTGTCTCCCTGTTGTAATTCCAGGGAAGAATAGGTCCCCAGTGCCCATGCTTGTCTCCCTGTTGTAATTCCAGGGAAGAATAGGTCCCCAGTGCCCCATGCTTGTCTCCCTGTTGTAATTCCAGAGAAGAATAGGTCCCCAGTGCCCATGCTTGTCTCCCTGTTGTAATTCCAGAGAAGAATAGGTCCCCAGTGCCCATGCTTGTCTCCCTGTTGTAATTCCAGGGAAGAATAGGTCCCCAGTGCCCATGCTTGTCTCCCTGTTGTAATTCCAGGGAAGAATAGGTCCCCAGTGCCCCATGCTTGTCTCCCTGTTGTAACTCCAGGGAAGAATAGGTCCCCAGTGCCCAAGCTTGTCTCCCTGTTGTAATTCCAGGGAAGAATAGGTCCCCAGTGCCCCATGCTTGTCTCCCTGTTGTAATTCCAGGGAAGAATAGGTCCCCAGTGCCCATGCTTGTCTCCCTGTTGTAATTCCAGGGAAGAATAGGTCCCCAGTGCCCCATGCTTGTCTCTCTGTTGTAATACCAGGGAAGAATAGGTCCCCAGTGCCCCATGCTTGTCTCCCTGTTGTAATACCAGGGAAGAATAGGTCCCCAGTGCCCCAAGATTGTCTCTCTGTTGTAATTCCAGGGAAGAAGAGGTCTATATGAATAGTGTTGTATGACCAAGACCTGTTTATAACTCTCCCTGACCACCACTGTATCATCGAGACCTGTTTATAACACTCCCCCTGACTAAAACTGTATCACTAAGACCTGTTTATAACTCTCTCCCTGACTACCACTGTATCACTAAGACCTGTTTATAACTCTCTCCCTGACTAAAACTGTATCACTAAGACCTGTTTATAACTCTCTCCCTGACTACCACCGTTTCACTGAGACCTGTTTATAACTCTCTCCCTGACTACCACCGTTTCACTGAGACCTGTTTATAACTCTCTCCTTGACTACCACTGTATCACTAAGACCTGTTTATAACTCTCTCCCTGACAACCACCGTTTCACTGAGACCTGTTTATAACTCTCTCCCTGACTACCACCGTTTCACTGAGACCTGTTTATAACTCTCTCCTTGACTACCACTGTATCACTAAGACCTGTTTATAACTCTCTCCCTGACTACCACTGTTTCACTGAGACCTGTTTATAACTCTCTCCCTGACTACCACTGTATCACTAAGACCTGTTTATAACTCTCCCTGACTACCACTATATCACTGAGACCTGTTTATAACTCTCTCCCTGACTACCACTGTATCACTGAGACCTGTTTATAACTCTCTCCCTGACTACCACCGTTTCACTGAGACCTGTTTATAACTCTCTCCTTGACTACCACTGTATCACTAAGACCTGTTTATAACTCTCTCCCTGACTACCACTGTTTCACTGAGACCTGTTTATAACTCTCTCCCTGACTAAAACTGTATCACTAAGACCTGTTTATAACTCTCTCCCTGACTACCACCGTTTCACTGAGACCTGTTTATAACTCTCTCCCTGACTACCACCGTTTCACTGAGACCTGTTTATAACTCTCTCCTTGACTACCACTGTATCACTAAGACCTGTTTATAACTCTCTCCCTGACTACCACTGTTTCACTGAGACCTGTTTATAACTCTCTCCCTGACTACCACCGTTTCACTGAGACCTGTTTATAACTCTCTCCTTGACTACCACTGTATCACTAAGACCTGTTTATAACTCTCTCCCTGACTACCACCGTTTCACTGAGACCTGTTTATAACTCTCTCCTTGACTACCACTGTATCACTAAGACCTGTTTATAACTCTCTCCCTGACTACCACTGTTTCACTGAGACCTGTTTATAACTCTCTCCCTGACTACCACTGTATCACTAAGACCTGTTTATAACTCTCCCTGACTACCACTATATCACTGAGACCTGTTTATAACTCTCTCCCTGACTACCACTGTATCACTGAGACCTGTTTATAACTCTCTCCCTGACTACCACTATATCACTGAGACCTGTTTATAACTCTCTCCTTGACTACCACTGTATCACTGAGACCTGTTTATAACTCTCTCCCTGACTACCACTGTATTATTGAGACCTGTTTATAACTCTTGCGGACTTTCACAGGGCCATGTGGGAACTTCAGCAGATGGGGTGACGTGGCTGGACGAGGAAAATGTCATCCCCGAGATCATCCGCCTGGCCGAGGAGTGTGGAGTGTTCTCTGTCCGAGGGTAAGTCTTACAGTAGTGACAATGGAACATGAGATGTGTTTGTGATAGGTGAGGTGAAATGGGGTTTAACGTCGCGTCCAAGATTATTGCACTTATATAGCGACGTGTGGGTGTGTGTGTGTGTGGGTGTGTGTGTGTGTGGGTGTGGGTGTGGGGCTGCGGCTGCTTGTACTAGTCCGGACTGATGCCGATTTATGGTGCTAGCTCTCTGAGATACCATGCCGCAGTTTAACATAAATACCCCACTCAGACACAGTATACTGACTCCGAGCTGACCAGTCCTTGTTTTAGCCCCTTAATGCCAGGCGCCAGACAGGTTTACAACAAGCACCATCTTTTAAGGTCTTTTGGTATGACGCTGTATGATAGCCTATGTAGCGTATGAGGCTGTAAGGTGATCTTTGAAACATCTGGCAGTGTGTTCACCAAGTAACCTCCTGTGTTCTCACTGCATGGTTCTCAGCACTTTCATAAAACAGAATCATCTTTTCCTTCAACGTATTTAGACATCACTGTGGTTAGTTTAATGTAGTGGTGATACAATTTCTATTTCAAGAGGCACACGTCCTGCCCATTTGTCTGAGGCACTTCAATCCACTGCAGAGTTGTGTAGCGTAGGTTGACCAGGATCGTTTCATCATATTCGCCCAAATTATGATCCTTGGTGTGTCAGCCTCATACCCATGCTGAGGGACACTTGATCTGCTGTGATTTAACAGAAAACCAACCTCATCCTACCCTGAAAGAAATTGCCGCCATATACAAGATAAAGTTGTAAAAGTTATTAATGGACCCGTGAAGATTCGGGGTAGAAAATGTCTTCAGCAACCCATGTTTGCCGTAACAGGCGACTAACGGGATCGGGTGGTCAGGCTCGCTGACTTGGTTGATGCATGTCATCGATCCAAATTGCGTGGATTGATGCTCATGATGTCAATCACTGAATTGTGCGGTCCAGACTCGATTATTTACAGACCGCTGTCATAAAGCTGGAATATTGCTGAGTGCAGCGTTAAACAACAAACATACAAACAAACAAAAGTTATTAATGATGCTGTGTGTTTGTTTCAGGACTGCATTCTATGTACTGGGGTTGTTTGCATGTACCAGGAAGGGGACGGAGATTCTGGCCCAGTACGGCTGGGAGTCACTGTGTTTCGTCCGGGGGGACAAGTGGCCGGTGACACTAGAACAGGGCTACTTCCCCCAGACTCTAGGTGAGGCCGGCAGTGTAAGCAATGTGAGTCTACTTAGTGCTTTCAAGCCAGAAGCCGACCGCAGCCAGGTGTCCACCAACACACAGCTGTCTTTCATTCAAGAAGAGGGCAAAGGGGATATATCTGATCAGTCTTTCACTTGTGATAAGTCAGACACTCAATCTGTGACAAACATTCCAACAAGCATGGAGAAGCTTAATGGTACGAATTCAAATGGACATTCGCTTGGGAGTATACCAAAAAGTCGAACTTTGCCTCTTGAATCAGGGGACTTCAGTAGATATCAAAGTATGCCTGTGAGATCACTTGCCAACGGACAGCCTCACCCAATGGTGCGTGTCCGAGCTGCAAGTGATGACGGTGATGTGTATGTGAAAGCAAACAGTTCGTCCATGGACTCGTCAGTGATAGAGACATTTAGTGAGACGTTCAAGGAGAAAGCTATTATAGGTGATAAGTTACTTACAGCGACGACCGACTCCGAGAGGCTGGAAACGGCAAGTGATCCTGGCCTGCCTGATAACTGTGATGAGAAGGCAAAAGAAAAAGAGATTGTTTTTAAAATAGGGGGGTCAAATATACTCCGTGATGATCGCAGTAGTAGTGAGAGCTCCCACAAAAGTAAAAGCCGGACTAGTAGTTTTAACACGGACTCGACAACAAGTGGAGTGAGCTCATGTGACTCGGGAGCTCTGATGGGTGGCCTGGGGCTCACTTCTCTAAGTCCGATTGCAAGTACGTCTTCTCTCAATACAATAGCATCAAGTCAAGTAGCTGGGCAGCCAGATCCCAAAGAACCAGTCCACCCTTCATCTGTTCAGCGTCGACTTGCAAAGTTGACCCGAGTTCCTAGTCTGCGGAGACGCTCTGCCGCTCCAGCGCTCGGTATCTACCCAGCCAGCCATTCCACCGACCCCTCCACATTCACAAGCCACAGAGATGCAGTTGGGTATGCCACCTTGAGAATAATCAAACGAAAACGGACGTACAGCTCTGAAGGTGAATCCGATCCAGGTCCTGGGGTGCCTGCCTTTGGTGACGGATTGATTAACAGAACATACAGCACAGAGTCTGATAGCAGCGTTGACAGCAGTATCTGGCTCAGGTTAGTTTGTGTCTTCTTTGTATTTGCTATTTAGAACAAGAGTGCCCTGAGAGCACAACATCCCCCGCCTGAATTTTTTTAACGAGTTTATATTTTCTTTGTATTTTATGAAATAGCAACAGTAGATGGCACTGTATTTGAAACAAATTGTGCAGAACATTTTGTTGGGAGTAATCCAGTCTGAATGCTAATGCCATAGGGATGTAGCTCACCCACAAAAGCCTTCTACAAGGAAACTAACTATAGTTATAGTTATAGTTAGATATTGTGATATTCTCTGGAAACTGGAGGAGTAGATTTCATGAAGCTCCGGAAAACAGGGGCAGTAACTCTGTCAAAATTTGTCGAAATGAAACGGGACAGCAATATGCGTATCATCAACATGTCGATATCTTGTGGGTAGAGTTTCAGGGATATTCTCTGGAAACTGTAGGAGGAGTTGATTTCACAAGCTTAGTACCCTCTGTGGGACGGACGGACGGACTGCGCCACGACATAATCCCCTTCGGCCATTCTGGCCCAGCGGGGGATAAAAAACTTTGGGAGAATTACACTGCATTCATGAGAAGATGTGCAGCAAGGATATGAAATATAGTATATTGTTAAAAGGGATTTGAGTTGTGTCCCTTAGGCATGCCAGAAACCTATGAGTGGTTCAAATCCTTGTTCTCCCTGATTATATTTCTAGCTTTGTCAGCACCATACCCATGCTTGTGGGTTACACCAAAGTGGTAAGCATCTGAGACATGCATCACTTCAGGCTTTCCTCCCACATCACGGCAGGATGTAACTGGAACACTGTTCAAAGCAGTGTTAAACCAAACTCACTCGCTCACTCACTAAACGAGATTTGAAGCACAAACTTTTTCTGACCTAATCACGGCAATGAATACTTTCTTGCTTATTATCTCATTTTTTCTCAGTCACAAACTGTTAAGTATGTAAGTCTGTGAAAGGCATTTAAAGCTATACACAGGAGGAAGAGAATTTATGAATGTCAACTTCTTTATTATGAGGAACACAACGTTTTGGAGTATATACTTACTCCTTCATCAAAGTGTTGTGTTCCTCATAATAAAGAAGCTGACATTCATAAATTCTCTTCCTTATTTTATGGACCTGTGAAGATCCGGGGTAGAATAGGTCTTCAGCAACCCATGCTTGCTGTAAAAGGCCACTATGCTTGTCGTTAGAGGTCTAGCAGGATCGGTTGGTCAGGCTCGCTGACTTGGTTCAAGCATGTCATCGTTCCCAATTGTATGGATTGATGCTCATGATACCAATCACCAGATCGTCTAGTCCAGACTCGATTATTTACAGACCGCCATCATAAAGCTGGAATAGTGCTGAGTTTGGTGTAAAACAACAAACAAAACCAAATCAAAACCTTATGATAAGTATGTTAGTTAACATGGAGACATGCATGGCCTATTTTATTATCCCCCGCCCAACAAAGTTGGCGGGGGATATAGAAACGGTCTCCGTCCATCCGTCTGTCACGTTTCGTTTCCGGAGCATAACTCAGAAACCGTTCAATATTTCTTCATCAAACTTTGCGGGTCTGTCAGGTACATGCTGAACTGGTGCCTTTTGCTATTTAGAAATTTTAGAATTTTTTTTTTTACGTTTCTATGGCAAAAGATGGACTTAGGTTCCAAAGTCTTCTTTTTTTTACAATTTTCATGACAAGTTCCACCTCGGTTAAAAAAGGTTAGGGTTTGTTTAGATTTAATTATGTCATAAATTCTGCAACAGGGGCGGGGGATATAGCCACGTTAGTGGCAAACTCTTGTTTGTTACTGAATTAGCAGACTGGTACATATAAACTATGTATTTTCGCAAATGTGATATGTGGGGTTGCTGAGTCTGTAAAGCAAGCAATGAACAGCGTGTTTGATGATTTATTCTCTGCTCATCTGATGCTTTCCTTGACACATGTTCCCCTGCATCTTGCAGCAGTATACGGAGGAACATCAGTAGTGCATCCCTGCCCGACTACGAGGGCCAGCAGTCAAGTCCATACAACACTCTCAACAAGGCCATAATCCATCCCCACACCTCCACGTCAAGCTTTGTGGGGCTGTGTCTGCCTGTGGATATCTACATGGTGTTTGAGGTGAGTCGCTGTCCTAGTACTCCGGCGTCTACAACTTGGTGATTATTTGTTTGTCTCAAACGTGGCTACCTTTTTTGCCTGTCATAATTTGTTGATTTAAACATTGTGACCATATTTTGCACAACTTTTTAAGAGGCGTTTAGAAGTTGGAGAACTAAGTAAGGATAAGAGTATATGGATGAACAACTTCTTTTTTTTTCTTTTTTTAAATATTTTTTATTCAATTCAGTATATGACATTACAGAGTTATACATGGAGTAGCACGTCTTGTAGCATACTTATTAGGTATAGGTTACCTATACAGCAGACAGCAGGTCAGTAAGTTTAAGTTCGCTACAGGTGTCCATCAAAGTTTACAAATGGTGAAAACGGGCAAATATTTGCCATATTTATTAACTAAGTGTGAAGCTAAATCCTTACCAATTGGTTGTGTAAAAAAAATTAAAAAAATTTTAAATATTAAAAAAAATTAAAAAAATAAAATAAATAAATAAATAAATAAAAAAATAAAAAAACAAACAACAATAATGAACAACTTCTTTATTACAATTAGGAGCTACGTTTCAGGGTTGGTTCTAACTTGCTTGATAACGGTGTTAGAATGTACACCCAAACGTCGTTCCTAATTGTAATAAAGAAGTTGTTCATCCATATATTCTTACCCTTATCCTTATGGTTATCCTTCTTTGGAGAACTGCTGCCGTATTCCAGACAAAATGTTTTGGATAGGGGAGGGATGATTTTAAATGTTTTTGATTATTTTATTGATATGTGTATGACTATAAACTCTTCTCTGGGAAAAGCCTGCCTACCATGATTCTGAAAAAGGCAAAACAAAGCCAATCTCTTTGAACCCTTAATGGTTAATGAACTGTGTTATAGCCCACAATAGGCTGGGCAATAAACATCTTAATACATGTAGAAGATCAACCTGGAGAAATGACTTTCTGCCTCTATTTAGGTTGGTGTTGTTATGAGTTTGTTTAGGTTTGCAAGGAGTATATTCACATACAGAGTATTGATGGTGTTGTTATGAGTATATTCACATACAGAGTATTGATGGTGTTGTTATGAGTATATTCACATACAGACTATTGATGGTGTTGTTATGAGTATATTCACATACAGAGTATTGATGGTGTTGTTATGAGTATATTCGCATACAGAGTATTGATGGTGTTGTTATGAGTATATTCACATACAGAGTATTGATGGTGTTGTTATGAGTATATTCGCATACAGAGTATTGATTGTGTTGTTATGAGTATATTCACATACAGAGTATTGATGGTGTTGTTATGAGTATATTCACATACAGAGTATTGATGGTGTTGTTATGAGTATATTCACATACAGAGTATTGATGGTGTTGTTATGAGTATATTCACATACAAGGTATTGATGGTGTTGTTATGAGTATATTCACATACAGAGTATTGATGGTGTTGTTATGAGTATATTCACATACAGAGTATTGATTGTGTTGTTATGAGTATATTCACATACAGAGTATTGATGGTGTTGTTTGCTGGCAGGTTATTGAGGGTGAGGATCACCGGTCATCTGTGTCTCTACATCGCAGGGACAGCTATATCATGGACAGGGTACAGGGTAAGTCTCACCATCATGGACAGGGTACAGGGTAAGTCTCACCGTCATGGAAAGGGGACAGGGTAAGTCTCACCATCATGGACAGGGTACAGGGTAAGTCTCACCATCATGGACAGGGTACAGGGTAAGTCTCACCATCATGGACAGGGTACAGGGTAAGTCTCACCATCATGGACAGGGTACAGGGTAAGTCTCACCATCATGGACAGGGTACAGGGTAAGTCTCACCATCATGGACAGGGTACAGGGTAAGTCTCACCGTCATGGACAGGGTACAGGGTAAGTCTCACCGTCATGGACAGGGTACAGGGTAAGTTTCACCATTATGTTCAGGGAAAATCTCACCAATATGTACTGGAAACAGGAATGGATTAGCACACCTAAAATGTGTCTCCATGTGAGTTTAACACCAAATGTTTATAGGCCATTATTTATGTGATGCCAGTTCCTGAGGTACAGAGTTAATAACTAATTCAAAAGTTGGAATCCAAGGTACGTCTCACCTTTATGTTGATTGCGTTGTGTTCCAGAGCGCAAGCTGACCTACAGTGTGCCGCCTCTAAAACCAGATGTAGACTTGGAGCACTCCGCTGACGTCTGTATTGTCTGTGTTACCCGCGAGTCACATAAATCTATCTCCCATGATGCACTGTCTCATGATGGTAAGTGTGTCAGTAAACGGTTATAGCAATCTGTGAATGAATCTTCACCCTGTTATTTCCTAAACTCCTTCAAATTATTACTGTTGGAATATCTTTGTTCATTGAAATGGACATTTCTGGATATGCTTGATATTCGTGGTTCATGAAGTCCAGAATTCTTAAATCCAGACATGAACACTTTGTGTGAATTACCGTAACCTTGGCCTTCAGATATCCCATCAATAGACGGGGACGCAGAGCAGAAGATGGACCTGGCGGCAGGTCAGAGTTCACAGGGGCTGAAGACAGGACGGCCAAGAGTGGAGAGCGTCAACGATACGTCTTCAGCGACTCCTGGAAGCGTCACCAGCACAAACAGCACAGACTCAGGTATTCTATACCTCTTGAGGGCGGTCAGGTAGCCTAGTGGTTAAGGCGTCGCGCCGAAGATCAGGGTTCGATTCCAGTCATGGGTACAATGTGTGAAGCCCATTTCTGGGTTCCCTGCCGTGATATTGCTGGAATATTGCTAAAAGCGGCATAAAACCCAACTCACTCACTCTATACCCCTTGACTGATCTCTGTTACTGCATTGAGTCATCATACACTCTCAGAAACAGGAGTCTTTTACTGAAAATAATCACAGATGAAATGCTCACCATTCTTTTCGTGTACTGGTAATTTTTCTGTTTCCATGGCAACAAGTTTGACTTTGACTCTGTTCATGTGTTTGTCCGGACCATATCTCTGAAACTGATAGGTATTCTTTGTTGCAACTTTTTTTACACAATGACCAAGTTGTCAACTGATGCCTTTTGCTATTTAGGGATTTTTGGAATTTATAATTTTTTCCGTTTCCAAAGCAACAAGTTTGACATTGACTCAGTTCACATTGGTGTGTACTTGACATAGAAATTCAAAGTTCCGAATCCCAATTCCATGGTATTGTTTTGATAGCTCAATAACTACTCTTGAATTGGACCGACAGATTAGATAGAAATTCTCTAATCAAGTTGGACTTACTGTAACAGTAAGATGATTTCGAATTTGTGGGGGCCGAGAGGATTTGTTGTCTTCTGCCGACTCTTGTTCATAAAATCAACATCTTTTTTTACATTAAGTAACACTTTTGAGTGTTTTTGTTTCGCCTTCCAGGTTATCCTTACCATCTCGTTTCTGATTATCAAAAAATCTTGATGGTGCGATACTTTTGACGAGGTGTATACTATAAACTGTGCAGCATTTCCTGTATTAACATACTTCATGTTAATATTGTGTCCAGGGGGCACGGGTGGCCCAGTCGTCTAAGGCGCCGCGATTCGCTGTGCAGAGTTGCGTCCCTTAGGCACACCAGAAACCTATGATTGTGGGTTCGAATCCCGGTTCGCCCCGATTATGTTTCTAGGTTTGTCAGCACCATACCCATGCTTGTGGGTTTCACCGAAGTGGTAAACGTCTGAGACCTGCATCACATCGGGCTTTCCTCCCACATTAAGCTGACACGCCGTGTTATGACTGGAATAATGTTAAAAGCGGCGTTAAACCCAACTCACTCACTAATATTGTGTCCATCTTTTTTAGAGATTTATGAACAGATAAACGACCCAGGTGGCCTTTTGATTTCCCAGAAACTCAATCAGTGTAGATTTGTATTCAGTGTGTAACTGGGGGGAAGGTGCTAGAAGTGAGATGCATGGTGTGATGACCACCTGTTATAGTTGGACATGTGTGACTCTACGTGGACCTTTGTATTCAGTGTGTAACTGGGGGGAAGGTGCTAGAAGTGAGATGCATGGTGTGATGACCACCTGTTATAGTTGGACATGTGTGACTCTACGTGGACCTTTGTATTCAGTGTGTAACTGGGAGGAAGGTGCTAGAAGTGAGATGCATGGTGTGATGACCACCTGTTATAGTTGGACATGTGTGACTCTACGTGGACCTTTGTATTCAGTGTGTAACTGGGAGGAAGGTGCTAGAAGTGAGATGCATGGTGTGATGACCACCTCTTATAGTTGGACATGTGTGACTCTATGTGGACCCTTGTTGACTTTCAGCCTCCAAGAAACTGAGCGAGGAAAGCCCCAAGGGACGTAATCTGATCCGGAAGGAGATCATGCGACTGGTCATTAACCTGGGCAGCTCTGTCGGGGCTAAGGGCACTGAGCAGGGGCTCCTCAGGTAAGTTGACGTGACCTCAGTCCAGAACGACCCGTGAAGATTCCGGGGTAGAATAGGTCTTCAACAACCCATGCTTGCCGTAAAAGGCGACTATGCTTGTCGTAAAAGGCGACTAACAGGATCGGGTGGTCAGGCTCGCTGACTTGGTTGATACATGTCATCGATCCCAATTGCTTGGATCGATGCTCATGATATCAATCACTGGATTGTCTAGTCCTGACTCGATTATTTACAGACTGCCGTCATATAGCTGGAATATTGCTGAGTGCGGCGTTTAACAACAAACCAACCAACCAACCAACTCAGTCCAGAACAGCTTTGTGGGGATTCCAGAATTGGTCCCCAGCAACCTATGCTGGTCGTAAGGGACCACTTTATGGATCAGGGTGGCGTTGTACAAAGTGATCTCAGTTCTAAGGTGATCGTAACTCGCATACCTTAACATAGATTTACGACAGTCGTAGCGCTAAGGTTTTTTTTGTACAACAGCACCCAGGTGGTCTGACTTGGTTGATTGCATATCATCGAACCCCGATGGTGTGGATGCTGCTCATAATTTAAATCTTCGGCAACCCATGCTTCCTGTAAAAGGTGACTATGCTTGTCATTAGTGGTGACCAATGGGATCGGGTGGTCAGGCTCGCTGAATTGGTTGATGCATGTCATCATATCCCAATTGCGTGGATCGACTAACGGGATCGGGTGGTCAGGCTCGCTGACTTGGTTGATGCATGTCATCGGTCCCAATTGCGTGGATCAATGCTCATGATATCAATCACTGGATTGTCTGGTCCAGACCGCCGTCATATAGCTGGAATATTGCCGAGTGCGGCGTAAAACAACAAACCAACCAACCAACCAATGATGCTCATGATGTCAATCACTGGATTGTGTGGTCCAGACTTGATTATATACGGACTGCCGCCATATAGCTGGAATAATGCTGAGTGCGACGTTAAACAACAAACAAACAAATCACTAGATTGTCTGGGCCAGATTAAATTATTTACAGGCCACTGTCATATTGCACTCAATATTGCTGAGGGCATCTTTAAACAACTAACAAACATGATCTAGGATGGGCAGGCCAGTGAGTGAGGGTTCGGTTATGCCAGCTATCGACATTGTTGCTGCATCACTGACGTCCTGAATTATGTAGTGTGAACCAAGTCCTCAAGGATGTGTGTCTTTGTGTGTTTGTTGTTTAACGCCAAACTTGGCAATATTCCAGCTATATGACAGCAGTCTGTAAGTAATCGAGTCTGGACCAGATAGTCCAGTGATTGATATCATGAGCATCAATCCATGCAATTTAGATACGATGACATGCATCAAACAAGTCAGCGAGCCTGACCACCCGATCCAATTAGTCGCCTCTTACGACAAGGGTAGTCTCATTTTACGGCAAGCATGGGTTGCTGAAGACCTATTCTACCCCAGATCTTCACGGGTCCCTCACAGTTGGGATACGATGACATGCATCAAACAAGTCAGCGAGCCTGACCTACCGATCCCATTAGTCGCCTCTTACGACAAGCGTAGTCGCATTTTACAGCGGTAGAAACTAACAGTTTCAGTCCACTAGTCCTTATAATGATAGCATATAGCAAAACCTTTAAAAATGTCAAAATTCTACTAGTCCTTAGGATACCTTTACTATTGGGCAGTTTGGCAAGGACTATAGGACTAGTGCCAATTTCTAACCCTGTTTTACGGCAAGCATGGGTTGCTGAAGACCTATTCTACCCCGGATCATCAGGATCCAGGATGTATGTCAGTGAGACTGGTATCGTTTCAGCCTGAAGCAGAAGTTCCCAAAAGCCTTCTGCGACATGTGCTTCTACTCCGAGGTGTGTCATCTACTGGCGACCTACTCCTTCCGACTGGCCCCGCGGCGCTTCATTCAGGAGCTGTTTGATGAGTTGGATGTGACAAAGGTAACAATATATCTATCATCAGAACTTCATAAGCATTTGAAATATTAAAATATTTTACTATTTGTTATTTTGTGTGGATTTGTTTTCAAACTCATCAGTGAAAAGGATTTATGTCTGAGAACTGTGACTGTTATCAATGTAATTGATGTGCTTGGCATTTACCAAAGGTGCACTAAGAATTGGTTTGTACCGACTCACAAGTCCCAGATTTTCTTCAAGACAGATGAGTTCAGTCTGATCTGCCAGTGGTTACTATGGTAAACTGATCACATAGATCTGGGGGGCACAGGTGGCCCAGTCATCTAAGGCGCCGCGATTCGCTGTGCAGAGTTGCGTCCCTTGGGCACGCCAGAAACCTATGATTGTGGGTTCGAATCCCGGTTCGCCCCAATTATGTTTCTAGGTTTGTCAGCACCATACCAGTGCTCATGGGTTTCACCGAAGTGGGAAACATCTAAGACCTGCATCACTTCGGGCTTTCCTCCCACATTAAGCTGACATGCCGTGATATAACTGGAATAATGTTAAAAGCGGCGTTAAACCCAACTCACTCACTCACATAGACCTGAGATACCTGTAGCTTATGGCACAACCATTGAAACTGTTTGTTGATCTCTCACACAATATTCACCTGTCATATTATGATCGCGCAAAAGTTTTAACAGTGATTTGTCAAATTGTTCCATGCGAAAAAAGTAACCGATAATACACAAGTGCTACCACATAACCCAGGTCATGGTCATCATTAGTTATGGTCATCACAAGATATATAGTATAACCTTCAATTAAAATAACATGATATCAGCATATAATATTCATAGTAAAATAGTAATTTAAGATATTATTTTTTCCGATCATTTCATCAAAATTCTTTGCCGTTATATTATTGGTTATGTTTTAACGTGATCATCGGTGGATTGGGAGATCACGTGTGTACAGCGGATTGCTATTTCCGGCCTAGTTTACGAGACAATACACACGGTAATCTTTATCCCTGCATATAAAACAGTGGATAGCAATCATCATGTCTAGTGATGTTTAATCGCAAATTTCACATTTTCATTGACAAAGTTTGTTATAGCATTGTTCATTCACCTAGAGCGATACGATGTAGTTTTTTTACCAACCCCTTTCTACAGAATCTTTTTTCTGGTCCTCAAAATTCAAGTTATGTATGGTCATATACGGTAGTTTGATCCTCCAGTTTTGTGGTTATGCTCTGAAAATGCTCTTTGCAATTTTGGTCATTTCTGTAAGTAATATGTCTTATTGCTGAAATGGCTTGTTTTCACTCTATAAGTATTAGTATACATGCAGTGGTCTTCATTAACTGATGATAGTGGTATTTTGTGCTTCTATTTTACGTGGAAAGGACTATACACTCAAAACCGGTTTGCCGGGCATCGAGACAAAAAAAAGGCTTTTGGTTTTGGGTTTCACATTAATATGGCTAACCTATAAAAATCCTCCATCAGTGGAAGGAAGCTGTACATCCGTAGACCGAAAACTCAGTCTCCTTGACTGCTGAAAATAAATAAATGAACGAACGAACGAACGAACAAATAAATTTAATTAGGTGAATAAAAAACAAACAAACAAACAAACAAATAAATTTAATTAGGTGAATACATGTATTGGAAGGATTGTTATTCTTTGGCTTTTGGTTAATATTTTTCATTTATGTGATTTTAAGAGGTGACTTGCAATATGGCCACTTGTCCTAATGAAGTTGGGGAAAAAACTCCTTTAACAAGATACTGAAAAAATGCCTTTAGTTCGTCTAGGATATGCTATAAGATGTATTAATTGCTGATGTAAGAAGCCTATAGGAGACGCATGCTACTTTTCTGCCTGTTTCTTACATCATCAGCTACTGGAAGAGCCACGTGTACTGCTGGACATCACGGAGCCTGAGGAAGACGATGGCTACAAGCGCATGACACCGATACACCAGGGAAGTCTCGACACATTCCCAGAGTCCACTGCATGACACTGGCACACTTCCTGTTTCCGTACAGTTCACCATAGACTGGACTAAATGGTCAAGCCAGCAACAACATGCCCACCCGAACACATGGACATCTGTTGGTGCCGCTAATACATGGAGGGGTCACTCTCGCAGCCATCCTTGGTGACATTGCTCACTTATCTCCCTTGGAACCATGTCATAGTTCATGTATTTACATGAAACAGTATGAGAGATGCAATCTCATTTAAATCAGACCTTAGTTCTCGCAACCGCTAAACAAAGATCTGAAGACTTCCCATTAGGGGTCACGTCAGAACGACCTTACATCCGACTAATCGGAGCTTCGCTTACCAGATCATGAATGTGACAGTCGGAATGTGATTTCTAATCATGCAACCTCGAAAACTTTAACATTATTACGATATTCCGAACGATAGTTACGGGTTTAACGACTGAATCCATACAATCTAAACCATCTATTAGCCATTCCAGAATGTTCTTTTGTTCAGGTTTCAAATTTGTAATCGAGAATTTGTCAAAATATGTGTAGAAGCGCAGTCGCCAATTTGAAATTAGAGCCGTAAAGCACGAGAAAGCTGCCTTCAGATTGGTCATTCCATTGGTCGGTCAAAGATCGCGCAAGGTTGGCCTGACGTGACCCGTAATGGGATGTCCTCAGATCTTTTGTTTGGCGGTAGCGAGAACTAAGATCTGATTTTAACGAGATTGTGATTGTGATAATGGTGATGATTAGTTGTTACTGTTAAACGCTGCTAATGCTGCTCTTACATGAAATCACCTGAAGCAACAAAAGCGGCCATGTCACTCTCAAAACTGAACCAATCTTTGAGGGTGGCCTGTGGGATGAAGTGTTCATCTGGGTTTGAACAAGACTGTTGTTGGTGTGTCCCAGTGCTGCAACATGGTGACGTTGCTGAAATCAGTGTTTACTTCTGTGTACCCACTTAGCACGTCCTACACAGAATCAAAATACATCGCCCTTCGTATGATTTCATTTTACATGTCCTAACTATGTAGACGGGGACAGGTTGTAATAATCCTGATGATGTTGACTGTAGATATCTGAAGATTAACATTCAGTAGGTTACCACGGTTACTGGTAATAGTGTCTGTGATAAGGTGTACGATAATGTCAATCTCATGAGGGCGATAGTTGATGCAGTCGATGCGTTTCTGTGATGCTTCTATAATTAATGATGCAGATTCAGAAAATATTAATATGAACACTATTTAACTATTTTGTCACATCTATGTCTTTATTACACAAAACTTTGGATATGTTCATGCACTGACAAGAGACTGATAATCCTTTCACTGTGTGAATACCTTTTTATTCATTTTAGAATTGCAATAATTTATTTTACGATTATCAAATTTTTAGAAAAGAAATTTGATGTTCCTATATTATGATTAACTTTCAAATGATAATTATCATGATACATGATGCTCAGTATAATGGCGCTGTTGGTTCTGCGAGAGATATTCCAATGTTAAACAACAAGGATATAACTGAATATTTGTGCCATAATCCCTTGACCAAACTGAAAGTTCGATGTGATGACGGTTTGGCGTGACGTCTTTAAACAAGCACCATTCACAAGGCAATAGAAGAGTGCAGGGATAGTGAAAGTAGATCTTCCTACGATGACCTGGTCATCCATATTCAGATATCATGGACTCAACAATTACATTCTATTTGTATGTGCTGGAATCTTTCTGTAGGATGCAGGGACAAAACGTTCATTGCACTGTGATGGTCGTATAACACTATAATACAATTAAGATAATTGTAGACAAGATGGCTTTGTTTGTAGGGACCCTGAGCTGTTGTTTGCAAGTTAAGATAGAAGGCTGTGTTGGAAATAATTGGTTTGGGGGGGACTTTTTCCTGTTGTAGAATCATTGGACCCTAAATCTTTAACTTTTAGCATTAGGGCCCGTGATGTTCTGTTCATGCAACGTTTTAAACACTGAATATATAAATATTTATCTTCATCTGAAGTCATTGAATTGAACTAACGATTGTTTTCTCTCTTATCACTTTTAACACTGTTTGTAACCTAACATGAAATGGAAACTTTTATGCACATTTTATTGTCACTGTGTCTGTTCGCGTGAAGTCTTCTTGTGTTTGTGATTTCCTTGTGGAAAGTGTCATGTGTTTGATCATGGTTTGAAACTAAATGAAATATCACAAATGTGTAAGCGCAGCACTCAACGAGAATAGACTTATGTATTGAGCGCAGCACTCAACGAGAATAGACTTATGTATTGAGCATCAATGTGTATGATCAGCTTCCTTCAGTTGACCTGTACTCAATCCTACTTCCTTGTATCCGTCAGCAAATAGAGTCAAAGATTTATGACCATACTTTGTTTGCAGGCTACTGTTTGTTCGTTAAGCTCAACTTACATCTGCACTTCAGTTACAAGGGGCGGTCGGGTAGCCTAGTGGTTAAAGCGTTCGCCCGACACGCCGACGACCTGGGTTTAATTCCCGACATGGGTACAATGTGTGAAGCCCATTTCTGGTGTCCCCCGCCGTGATGTTGCTGTAATATTGCTAAAAGCGGTGGCGTAAATCAATACTCACTCACTCATTTCTGTTACAAGGGGGTTTATCTGGGGTCCGATATTCGGCTTGCATCAAATGTCAGGTAATACTCGCAAATTGGAATATGAAATGTCCCAACTCATGTTATGGCTTTGCAGAGGTAACTTGTATGTTGCTGGTAACATAATCAATAAAGAGTAAGAGTCTGACACTGTTGCACTGAATGTAATGTTAAAACACCACAGGATGTAGGGAATTACAAACTTTAGAGATAAATCCCTGGTACTTGACGAGCGGCGTCTATATCTGATGGAATCTACAGCTTTGTCAGCCGGCCATCTGCAGATGAGGGATGGAAACTAAGTTGGTGGTGCATTCCAATGGCGCATTCTGCTTGTGCATTCTCATGATGTCTCCTTGTGCACTCTCATGATGTCTCATGGTGCATTCTCATGATGTCTCATGGTGCATTCTCATGATGTCTCCTTGTGCACTCTCATGATGTCTCATGGTGAATTCTCATGATGTCTCATGGTGCATTCTCATGATGTCTCCTTGTGCACTCTCATGATGTCTCATGGTGCATTCTCATGATGTCTCATGGTGCATTCTCATGATGTCTCATGGTGCATTCTCATGATACATTCTCATGACGTATTTTTGTGGTGCATTCTCGAAATGTCTCATATGCATTCTCATGATGCATTCTCATGATTTATAAGGGTTTCTGATTTAAATTTATTGAACATAGCCATTTCAAAATGCTCTATTGACAAGGTACAGGATTCACTGTGTGAACCCCAGTTTTTACCTTTATACCTCATACACCTTATGAACACAAACAAATATTGGAAGTCAATAATTAAGTAAAAAACAATAACTTCACAGGCTACTTACTTAACCATTTACACAAACAACAGTAGACAACGATATAAAATCAATGACATCAATCAGCGCCACAATGCAACCCTATCCGCAAACAGTTGTCTGCAGGTGGGTGTGGCTTGATTGTCTTTAGGTTTATGGAAGGAAACAAAACTTCAAAACATTTGCATGGTTAGCCAAGCAAATGCCATGGAATCTTGTGCAATTTATTTATGTTGTATTTAGTTCAATCTAGGTGTGACGTGTCACTTGAATATTGCTGAAAATGATAAATAAAACCTCGCTCGCTCACTCACTCACTCACTCACTCACTCACTCACTTGAAAGGTTCATGTTTCATGCTGTGTATCAAACAATGATAAGTTAACATGCTGTGTATCAAACAATGATAAGTTAACATGCTGTGTATCAAACAGTGATGAGTTAACATGCTGTGTATCAAACAGTCTTGAGTTTACATGCTGTGTATCAAACAGTCTTGAGTTTACATGCTGTGTATCAAACAGTCATGAGTTTACATGCTGTGTTTCAAACAGTCATGAGTTTACATGCTGTGTATCAAACAGTCATGAGTTAACATTTTACTAACTTAAATTGGGAATTTAACGTGCGCTTTCTGCCATATGCGTATTTCGCACATGGGCCAGCCAGGCCATTTAGTGTTTGGTCGAAAAGGGTATGTCCGAAAAGGTGAGGCAACAAAGGGGGACTTTTAGGTTGAGTTAACATGCTGTGTATCAGACAGTGATGAGTTAACAGAGGACATCTCATGAGGCAAGAGAGTTAACTAACGTTAAAAGTCCAGTTTCCACTCTTGTCGAACTAGGCTGGAATTCCTGGGCTCGATCGGACCACCACCAGTGGCTATTATGAGTTATGTCCCTTCTATGCCTCTCCTATGGACCAATCAGATTCCACCTCTCGTATCACTTGCATTTGCTTCAAACTAAATGGCGGCGCCCAGTCAAGACAATCTGATCGATAATCAAGGTCTATATTGTAATAAAACGGGTCTAACATTGCGAAATGCATCAAATCACGTGAGCCCCTTAATTAAAAACATGAAAAGATTTGGAAAATATCTGTTGACAACGAGTTCGAGGTGCAAATGATTTGCAAATCCTGCAATCGACCAAAATCTGCACCACAGTTTACGAACTGGATTTCAATTTTGTTGCGCGATTGTGTTTGGACTGTGCATAAACTCGTTAGTCCAGCCAAAACGTAACTCCATAATACCAGCCTAGTTCGGCAAGGGTGGAAACTGGACTTTTATAGTCAGTTTAACTCACTTGCCTCGGGAAGATGACAGAGGAATGCAGCAATGGTGATACCAAGGATTTAACCTGTAGGCAAGTCTTGAAAATTGACCAGTGCAGTATAACTGCAATTTTTCTCTTTATTCCTAAATTTCTACGACTATGTCTATGAGGATCCCTGTCTTGCATTGAAATGTTTTGCACAAAAGCTTATTATATTATTACTAATGTCAGCTGGCAGCTGTACATGCATGTGTTCATGAATTAACACGCTGCCTGTCCTTTCCACTTCAGAAACAAAAACAAGCTTATCATGATTTAACTAAAAGCTGGGTGTCTGTTCTATTTTCATATGTATTTAATATCTGTTGCATGTATCATTCTGTAATCACAGCTCTTGCTTGAGTGAGTGTGTGAGTGAGTTGGGTTTAACGCCGCTTTCAACACTATTTCAGTTATATCAAATCGTGTCAGCTTAATGTGGGAGGAAAGCCGAAAGTGATGCAGATCTCGAACGTTTACCACTTCGGTGAAACCCATGAGCATGGGTATGGTGCTGACA